ATCAATCACCGTTCTACACCAGCATTCCTCCTTCCCCCTCGACTAGATACGACACAACTTAAGAGCTCCCTCGCTATTTCGGCATGCCGGGACCTCTCTCGCCGCGGCATTCGGGATTCCTGCCTATAAACAACACACAGTCGAACGACATGCCTGACGGCGATATTCCTCTGACCCAGGTCAGGAGCGCCGCCTCTACTGGCGCCAGGAAGCCCACGATGAACGCTTCCAACGAGGACTCTGGTTCCTCTGGTACAAACGAGAAGCATGGTCTTTTCCACCGCCCCAATGCCAAGGGCGGACGCCGCAAGAAGAAGGCAGAACTCGGCCGCCACGGAACTGCTGGCTCGGACGAGGTCAAGATGAACGCCATGGGTCGCTTCTACACCAAGATCACCAGCGCGTCTGTCGTCACGCGCTACCTGGTTTACATCATTCCTATCGGTCTTCTACTCGCGATACCACTCATCGTTCTCCCCATTACGGGTCACAAAGACGATGTCATGATTGGCAACAACAAAGAGAAATCACTATTCAACCTCTTTGTGTGGATTGAGATTGCTTGGTTGACCCTCTGGGCCGGCAAGGTTGTTGCCTGGCTCATGCCTCACGCCTTCATGTTCTTCTGTGGAGTGGTCAGTTCCGGTACGCGCAAGTACGCTACTGTCCTCCAGAATTTGCAGATTGCCCTTTCACTCTTCTTCTGGGCCCTGGCATCATGGCAGTCATTCCAGGCCCTCTTCAAGTCCGACAATAACCAATCTACCTGGGTAACCACCATGATCCGTCTTCTTGGTGCCACATTTGTGTCTTCAGCCGTATACCTTGGCGAGAAGGCCATTGTTCAGCTCATCGGTATCTCTTACCACCAGAGATCATTCGCTCTTCGCATCAAGGAGTCCAAGCGTGAGGTTCGCTTGCTCGGTCTCCTCTATGATGCTTCCCGCACCCTTTTCCCTATGTACTGTCCCGAGTTTGAGGACGAGGACTATGTCATCAACGATAGTCTCGATTTGATCTTAGCCAAGGCCGCGAAGGGTGGCAAGGGCGGTAATGGTAGCGCTACGCCCCTCCGCCTTGTCGGTGACATTGGCCGTGTAGGAGACAAGATCACCGGTGTCTTCGGTAACATTGCCTCGGAAATCACTGGAAAGCAGGTCTTCAACCCCAACTCGGCTCACTCCATTGTTATTGAAGCCCTCGAGAAGCACAAGCCTTCCGAGGCTCTCGCCCGCCGTATCTGGATGTCTTTTGTGGTCGAAGGAAAGGACTCGCTGTACCCCGAAGATTTCCTGGAAGTGCTTGGACCCGCTTACTCTGATGAGGCCGACGAGGCTTTCGGTATGATCGATAACGACATGAACGGAGATATCAGCTTGGAAGAGATGACTCGCAAGGTTGTCGAGATTGGCAAGGAACGCAAGGCTATTACCGAGGGAATGAAGGACATTGGTCAGGCACTCCGCGTGTTTGATAAGGTTCTCATGTTCGTTGTCGTCTTGATCGTTGTCTTCATTTTCCTCGCGTGGTTCCAGTCCAGCTTCTTGACCGTAAGCTTCCCCCTCCCCTTCTACTCTGTCTTGAACGCCGCTGACCAATTTAGACCGTCGCCACTGCTGGTACTGCGCTTCTTTCCCTGTCATTCGTCTTCGCCGTTACCACCCAGGAATTCCTTGGTTCCTGCATCTTCCTCTTCGTCAAGCATCCCTACGACGTCGGTGACAGAGTCGATATTGTTGGTTCCGAGAAGCAGCAACTCATCGTGGACAAGATTTCGCTTCTGTACACCGTCTTCACCCGCATCGACAAGATGCAGGTCGTCCAGGTTCCCAACATCGCTCTCAACAACCTTTGGATCGAGAACGTCTCCCGTAGCAAGGCCATGAAGGAGGTCATCGACTTGAACGTCTCCTACGACACCAGCTTCGAGGACCTCGAACTCCTCCGTGTTGAGATGGAGAACTTTGTTCGCAACTCCGATAACTCCCGCGACTTCATGCCCGATATCGCCATTGGCGTTGCCGGTGTCGGTGATTTGGACAAGCTACAGCTTAAGATCGCGATCAAGCACAAGTCCAACTGGCACAACGATGGCGTTCGCGCCACTCGCCGCTCCAAGTTCATGTGTGCTCTGGCCATGGCTCTGAAGAAGATCCCCATTTATGCCCCTGGTGGTGGTAGCGAGGCCCTTGGTGCTCCTGGCAACCCATCTTACTCCGTCGCCGTCACCGACTCCTTCGCTGCGTCAGCCCGTGACAAGGCTGCCAAGGATAAGGAGGCCGCGCGTTTGGTGCCCTCTCCCGCCGCCGAAGGAACTGACGGCAATCCCGACTCTAAAACCGAGAAGGCTGCCGCAGCTGAACTCAACCTGCGTGACCCGATGGTCGAAGAGGAATGGGGCTACCGGGTAGGCGATGACGACACTTTGTCGTCCCAGGAAGCTCGCCGCCGCTCTAATGATATCGACCGCGTCCGCAGTCAGCTGATGAAGCGCGCCAGCACCAAGGGTGGTGGTGGCCGACGCAAGCCCGGCGAAGGCATCCCCATGTCCCCCGTCGGTGATGGACCCGGCCTCGGTCTGACGCAGACGACGTCTCGCAACCGCATTTACGACGAGGAGGCAGAGACGGGTGTTCAAGGATCCTACAACTCTCCCTACTACGGCGCCCAATCAACCGGTTACTCCGGCGCCTACGGACAGTCCCTGTCTCCCACCATCTCGCCTCCCCACAACACCAACCTTACCCCCCACCCACTCCAGAGCGCCCCATCGGGCCAGCGTCCTCGTGGACGCAGTGTATCCAGCACCCAGCAGGAGGTTCAGCCTAGCACTTCAAAGAAGCAGTAAAGGGGGACGCTAAGGATGGCACGAAAAGAATAACAAAGTAAAAGAAGGAGAAGCAGCAAAAAAAAAATTCGGAGAAAGATTAATACCAGCCGGTCAATTGTCTGACACAAAACACCGGGCGTTTTCTTTTACGTGGGCATTGAGACTGGCTTCCCCATGCCTAATGAATTTCCTTACACAAACTTCACATGGGGGGAAACAGATAGATTACGAATAGAGTATGATGACATGTCGTCCGCAGATAAATACTATTCCTCTTACCAATGCTTGGCTTGCCTCTCCTTACGTGAAGAATTTTCTCCTAGGTCGTCAACACTTGTTTACTTTAGTACCTAGCAAACGTGCTCAACCTCGCCAACGCCCTCCAACGGACCCAGATCCAGCTTGAGCGTCCTCCCAAACAACTCCAACAGAATCTCAAAGCAGACCTTTGTGATGGCCGGGTCATACCGTCCCTTACTCAGCTCGTCGCGGATAAAGGCGTGCTGGGCCCACGCGAACTCGTAAAAGCTCGTCGTGACGCCTGCCTCGCGGAGCTTGGCGCGGATGAGGTCGCGGCCTTCTGCGGGGACGTGGGTGTCTTTTACCCCGAAAATCATGGCCACCTCTGCGTGGGTGAGGTTCGTGGCGAAGAGGTCTAGGGTGTGGGTGCTGTTTTCGGGGGCTGTTGGGGAGGAGTTTGCTGCGGTGTAGGGGCCTAGGGTGCGGGTGTGGATGTCTGTTGCGAAGTAGGCTACGCAGGAGGTGATTCGGGGGTCGAGCTGGTGTGGTGATTAGTTTGGGGAGGATTACGGGGATTGTGAGTGGGGTTCTTGGTGAGAGGTGGGAGTTTGGAGGTGGAGGGAGAGGTTGAGGGGGAGCGGGAGTGAGAGAGGGGAATGGAAAGGGAAAGGGGGTGAGAGACGTACGGAGGCTCTGACGGCGAGGTGGCCGCCTAGGCACATCCCCGTGCTGCCGATTTTGCCGGTGCAGGTTGGGAGGGTGAGGAGGTGGTCTACGGTGCGGCGGGAGTCTTCATCGTAGGACTCGAGGGTCTTGATATCAGTGTTGAAGATGGTCAGCCAAAGTCACTGTGTGAAGTTCACTCATGTCAAGATAAGAAGGCTAGTGAATATGAGAGCGTACCTTTTCAATCTTCCAGGCGTTGCCCTTGTCGGTGCCGGGGACATCGTAGGCCAAGGCCTCTGGGCCGGTGAAGTCGTGGTAGGACGAGGGCGCGGCGACGATGTAGCCCTGTCCTGCGATCTGGCGGGCGAAGCGGGCGACGGGGCCGGTCACTATCGACTTGTCAATTGATCCTTCACGAAAAGACGGAGTTTATGTATCATTCGAATGGGATTTTAGTGTGAAAAGGGATTCTGTTGTATGACAAGCTAACAACAGTTGAAGACATAAAGTGAAGTGAAATCAAAGTACTCGGTCAACAATTCGGTGAACTCGGTGTAGGTTCGGTGAGGGTGGGGTGGAGGGGTCGAGCACCCCCAGTGCGGGGGAAAGGGCAGCTTTTTTTGGGTAGACCCCGCCGCCATGGAGAAGAGGCATGGCCTGACTGTACTGACCTTGGTAGATCTCGGAAAAGAGGCAGACGCCGGGGAACTTGCTGCAGATGTATGTCAATTGGATTATACGATCTGATTTCTGGACTAAGGAAGATATCTTACGCCTGAGGATAGCCTGGAATGGAAGGGTGGAAGAGGAAGATTCCTGTGACCGTTGTCAGCTTTCGAGGACCATTATCACAGGTTCAGATTGCACGTACGCATGGAACCATCCTTGCCGTCGGCCTTGGTCGGCACGTCAACGTAAGACTCCTTGATGAGCATTTTGAAGGGTCGTTGAGAATTGACTGATTGAGTACGTAGGATGAAGCAGTCGTCGAATTGACAGTCAATGAGTGAGGTTTGTTGTAGTTGAGTGATTTGCATCTCATTGGCTGATAGCATTGGACCTCTGATCTGGAGGACCTTAGTAAGCCCCCCTTCACTCCACCACCCTTCCTTCTCAGTCCACCTGGGTTGAACTGGAATGGCAGCTACTATCTTGAAGTCTTGAGTATTCACTAGATTTTGTAGCGGAGCTGAGCTTGTGATAAGTATCTGACGGATGTTTATCAAGATGACTATAGCATTGCTTTTCACTTGGTATTTCTGCCCCCTCCGCCTAAACACCCAGTTCCATCCTTGATATACGCTCTCCCATGACCCTGCGCCAGCACTATGCTTTCGCTTTCGATTATTACGCCATCCGCATGATATCAACACCGTCCCCCCTTTGCTTGTTTTTCTTCTGAAGGACGCCCCTAAATCCTGAATATTCCACGCCACCCTCATGACGTTCTCTGTGCGCCGTATGCTTCCCCTTCCCCTGATAATATTTCCCACGACGGCAATCCTCTCGGATTCAATATGATTACAAGCCACGTACTTTCCCTCACTTATTCTCAAGATCCTTGGCATCCTGAAACGTCTCGTTCAGCTTCGCCGTAAGCCCAGCCCGCATAGCCTGGATCTCCTTATCCCTCTTCTCCGACAGCGCCAGCAGGTCCCGATATTTCCTCTCCCACTCCGACTCGGCACCGCCCGTGCCCTTCATGTTGGGCTTCTCCAGCTTCTCCTCGGGCCGCCGCCACCGGTTGTACATGACCGTCTGCACCATGTTGTAGTTGCCCCGTATCGTCCCCAGCCGGAACTCCCAGCTGCAGCTGTACGTCGCGCGGTCTTCGTATTCTTCCTCCCGCTTCACCCGCAGCTTGCTCGTCGTCATGAGCGCCCTGCCGCCCGCCAGCGCGGCGAGATTAATCAAAAAGGCGTCCTGGTTCGGCGCCGTCTGCCACATCCTTTCTACAGTGGTGTGCACGAGCGCGTAGGCCTCGGCGATGCTGCAGTTCTCGATGGGGTTGTTGTCCGCGTCGACCCAGTCGCCGTTGGCCGTCTCGTGCGCGAAATAGCCCAGGACGGCGTCGATGTTGGTCCGGTCCTTCATGTTCTCGAACATGCCGATGGGGATGTCGTTGGGTTGCGGGGGTATGCCGCTGCCTTTCGCGGCGGGCGGCGGGTCGACCGGCAGGACGGTCTGCGCTTTCAGGTCTACTGGTGGTATGGCACCGGGGGGTAGGGGCACGTTGTGACCGGGCGGGAATTCCAATGGTGGTGCTGTGGCTGTCGAGTTTGTTATGTCGGGTACTTCGCCCGGGGGTTCTCCGTTGACGATCACGATTGGAGGAGGCGGCGGCGGCGTCGCAAGACGAACGGATCCTCCTTGACGTTCCGGAACCTGTAGTGAGATACTCGGCTTGGCCGGCCGCGGTATATGCGGCGGGGGAGGTAATTCTGTGACCGCAACTGGTGGTACTGGTACGGTCTGAGTTATTGGCGCCGGTGGTGTAATCGGGCCCGGCTCGATCTTGGTATCGGGACTTGGCCGCTTGTACGCCGGTCCTTCGGCGGGAAAAGCCACAAACGGCCCATCGACATTCGTTTTGTTCATAGGTGGCCTCCCCCGAGTCTTGCCGCTGCCTCCCGGTCCGCCACTCCTCCACGCAGAGGAAACGACTTTGGCACCATGCCGCCGGTGAGATGCCTTTGGTCGTGAGGGAGTAATAGCCGACCTTGGTTCCGCATCACCCCAGAACCCGCCGTTGCGCGTTGACGGCGTGAGCGCAGACATCGGGCCCTGTGGATACGCCGTGAGCGGCGTCTGCGCTGTGTCAGGGGCCGGAGGCCAGCCCGTCACTGATCCCGTGTTGGCGCTCAACTTCAAAGGATCGGAGCAGCCGAACGTAGCCCGTCCATCCGGGTGAGCGGACCACGGACCCAGAGTCTCTGGCCGGGCGGCGGTGTAGGCCGTCCCCGTCGGCGGCGAGTCCAATCTCGCTCGTTGTGAAGGGGACTTTGCGAACTCCTCGTCCTCTGGCCTTTTCCTCCCCCGCCTGGGCCGAATCTGTGGTAAAAGTGCTCGGAGAGCCATGTCGTCTTCTGCTAGCACACCATCTCTTCCCGCTTCACACACTGGCGTTGGGTCGTTTGGGATCTCTGTCCAGTAAGGGTGAGGGTGATCCATCAGATACTCAAAGAAGGCATCCACATGCATAGAATGCATCCAGCGCTATAAGAGTCAGCCGGTTGCGCGATTCATTGAACCATGTACAGAAACAAACCTTGAGCCGGACGGCATACTGCTGAATCTTTTGAGAACTCTGACCCTTATCCTGATCAGGGGGTTCGACGCCCAACTTGAGAGCCAACTCTGCCCACGTCTTGATCTCCTTGGTCTCCAACTGCTTGATGAGCTCGAAAAGGGTGAAAGTGCTGAAGCTCTTGCCGCCGCTCTTGGGCGGGACCCGGAAAGCTTCCCGCAGCGCGGCCGTGTCCGTGTCGGGCGGGACGGCCGGGTTGCAGGACATGACAAAGTGGGTGTAGGCATCCTCAATGGTGTCCGCCGTCACGTTCCTGTCCGGGAGGGTGAACCTGCTGCTCGAGATTGACGACGTCGACGACCGTGGGGCGGCCATGTGCTGATGCCTCATTGAGGGCGACGGGGATTGCCCATGCATGCCGTTGGGCACTGCCGACGGCGGCGGTGGCAGCGGCGGCGGGAGCGACTGCGGTTGGTGGTGCTGCATCGTCGGTTGCGGGGATATCATCGCGCATGAGTCGGTGTTGAGTAATCCGGGATATTGGACATCATCACCGACGAGGCGAGAGCTGGGCCGCGCATTGACAGCACGCGCGATACGAGTTGACAGCGTTAAAGCCTAACGACGACGCGACAAAGTGTATGAGGAGTATCGTGGACGCAGCATCACCACCTAGCCAGCTCAACGAGGGGGGGCAGAGAGTGTCCCAGATGCGTCTCTCAGTCTGTTCTCGAGACAAGAGCAGGTGATAGAGGCTGAATGAGCCGGGAGAAGATGGGGGTGGATGAAACCGATGCAATCCGTCCCGTAGCTCACGGTCTCATCTACTAAGGTGACGGACAGTCAGATCCAAACGGCTCTTTTCGAGATGAGAGGAAAGCTTGGGTCAATCTAAACATTGAATCGAATCGAGCTGGTAAAGTCGGGGTTAATTTAGGGCCCTAGCGAGAGAGTGATGGACGGGCAAAGGAGAGAGAGAGGGACGTGCTAAAATTAGCCTTTGTCACCACCAGAGCATTGAGCAGTCCTAATGCCAGTCAAAGGGGGCCACCACCACTGGGGGGGCCAGAGACTAGTGTAGAGGTTTAGGTACGCAGTAAGGTAGGTAGGAGTGGGAGAGGAGGCCCTGGGTGGTAGAACCGTAGAAGCGAGGTCTTGCTGCAGCCAGGGTCGCTGCAACCAGGTGCGCCATTGCGCTTAGGGCCATCCGGAAGCTGGGAAGGAATCCCCCGAGAGGGATCGAGCTGAAGATGGAGCCGTGGGAGCTTGGTGGTAGCAGGTAGTGTACCTAGGTAGGCTGGTAGGTAACTGTGGTGCTGTGGCAAGGTGTGGTTAGGGGGAACGGCAAATGCGGCCGTGTTGAAACTGTCTCAAACACGGCGAGTTGGACACTGTGCAATGTCATCATTGACCAGCTTCCCCAGATCGCCTCCCGCTTAGTCACTGGCCCCCAAGGCAGTAAAACTGCAGGAAATGCCTTTTACACTTTCTGCCGGCTGCTCTCGGCATTCCGATCTGATCTTGCCGTTTGAAAAAGTTAAGGCTGTCTGTCAAAGACCGAACTTTAATACATCTTTAACGAACCACTCATAACAATTTCTCTACGGAAGTCAGTAGAGACATAGACACCCAGGCCAATTGTATAGTCCAGTTCTGGTCTTTTCATTGTGATCATGTGTGTTGATGTACGTCTCTTGATCAACGGTTGAAAGGCTAAAGACAAGAAAGAAGGGTGGCTGCTCAGGCAGACTATCTCAATCGCAAAAGAAATATATCCTTCACACCCTCAATCGTCTTTGTCTACGATAGCGCGAAGTACGGAGTACGGTATCCCACCTAGGTAGGCCCGTCGATCACATTCAATCAAACGAGGCGTAATTCCAAGCCTTTTCTGACCTACGCCCTTGACTAATGCCCCCCATGCCTTGTCCTCTACAAACCCCGGAAACTGGGAACCTACCACAGTAAACCCCAAGAACCCAAAATCTCCAGAGATGCCACGGCATGGTCTCCAACCTGACTAATCCCATTCCATTGACCCAATCACCTCCGCACCGAGGCTCTTCAGACCAATCGACACCAAATGACGTGATTGCTCTCTCACAAGCATAGGCCATTTTCGGTGCTTCGAATGGCTTCATTTATCATCATGCTTTGAAATACAGCATCCAAGTGTTACAGTATTTAAAGAAAGAAGAAGCTCTCTAGTAGGAGGAGGAAATATTTCAAGATATCACTGATCCCACTAACACCACCTCATCGCCATCCTCATCAACGTCTCAGCGTGAATTACAAAGATCAAGACTCATTTACAACCTCCAGCAGAAAGCTCTAGATATCATCGTGCACCCCAAACCCAGACCTCATCTCCCAATGGCCATCGACAGAGTCCCCCGCGGCCAAGTCCGCGCAACCCTAAACTTCTTCGCCGCGCCCGCCGACAACGCGTCCCCCTACAACCTCATCAACCCAGACGGTCCCCCCTCCAGAAACTACGGCGACGCTCCCACAGAAACCCTCCTCAACGACATCCGCGGCCGCGAATCGGAATTCTCCCTAGACCGCGACGCCTTCGCCGTGATCCGCAACCTCCCGCCCTCCGCAGAGAAAGACTTCACAGACGACGAATCCGTCAAAGAAAAATACTATCCGGAACTTGAGAAGCTCCTCCTGGAACATGTCCCCGGAAGCACCCGCGTCCTCTTCTTCGACCACACCATCCGCCGCGCCGACCCCAAGGCCCCGCGGAACCCAGTTACCCGCGTGCACATCGACCAGACCCCGTCCTCCGTCATCCAGCGCGTGAAAAAGCACCTCCCCCAAGAAGAAGCAGACAAGCTCCTCGCGGGCCGCTACCGTATCATCAACGTCTGGCGCCCGCTCAACAAGACGCCCGTCGAGTCCTTCCCGCTGGGCTTCGCCTCGTCCTCGACGCTGGCCGACGAGGATATCGTACCCATCGAGCACCGGTATACCACGGGCTACACCGGTGAGACAGCGGGTATCAAGTTCAGCCCGGAGCAAAAGTGGTACTACCTGAGCGGAATGACGGGAGACGAGCGGCTGCTGCTTGAGTGCTTCGATAGCGAGGGTCTCCGGGACGGCACTGGTGTCGAGGGAGGTCGCGTGGCTCACACTGCCTTTGAAGATCCGAGGACGAGGGCTGATGCCGTGGGCCGCGAGAGCATCGAAGTACGAGCGCTGGTGTTTGGTCCTTAAAGATACACTAATCTGGAGCTGATTTGAGTTGTACTTAATGAGTCAATGATAATATGAATATTTTCAACTATGAGCATCGGGGTATCAATGCCGTGCCACACCCCTATAAATATGGACGAGACTGTTGTCTATCCGTTGTTGCACCACCCCTCTGCCACATCATATATGCCAACCTTTGCTGTGGTTCGATGTATTGTCCACTAGATGCACCCCTCCATCATGAAAAGAAAAAGAGAGAAACGAGATGAAAGCTTGCTCGATGCTGTGGAGTTTGACCGCAGTCAATGGAGTTGATGATTACCCCCAAAAGTCGTTCGAATACACTCCTACCAAATATCCTTTGCCCGGATCAAAACCATTTTGTTTCCCAAACGCCGAAACACCATTCAACTGCTCGTACGTCGTCACTGGTTCTGGTTCTTACGACCCTTACCACGCGCACTTCCCTGTCGGCTCATCGCTGCGCCGCCGGTTGCGCTGCTGGTACGGCTCATGGGGACGGCCGCAATGGCAGCGAGGGATGATGGGGGAGCCTCGTCTCTAATGCTGCTCTCAATCGGCATCAAATCCTCGCGGAGTTTTGTTGGATCCGGACGAGGGCCTGGCTTGAATCCCGTGTACGGAGTCATGGTATAAGGCGTAATGGATGCTTCCAAGATCCTCCTGCTGCCATTGGGATGGTCGATCGAGTCACCGGGCTTGTGGTTGTAGTCGTACTTCTTGAACATGTCCATGACCATTATGTCGGAGTTGATCTCGTCGTGCGACAGCGGTTGCGGCAGGTTACCGTCAGTATTACCTCTGACCGGCTTGAAGTAGTTGGTCACGGAGACTGACGGCAGTTTGGCAGGTTCGTGTGGCTGCATGATTTCGAGGTACTTGGGCAGTTCCAAGCCATTGGCTCCCTCGACGGCATCGATCAGGTTCTGATTGATGCCGGCCCTCGTGCTTCTAGTGGCATGGGAACTTGTGCGTTCCATCGTCGGGGCGGAGAGGGCCTCGCTGTCATGTTCACCGTTTTCATCGCCGTTGCCAGAGTCGCTGCCCGGGGATGAGCCCCCGTTCGCATAGGGCTTGTGTCTAAGAATATGCTTGTGGGAAGCAACGGCTGCGGCGTTGTAGGCCATGCTGAGTTCTTTCTCAGTGAAGAGCTTATCAATGCTGTAGGCCGGGCCATTTTGTTTCGCGGCGACTCGAAGCTTCTCGTTCTGCCAGAGAGGTGTTGTGTTGTTGGGGTCGAGCGCTCGTCGGGACGGAACGGGGGAGCCGTCGTCTTCGCCGGGGTGCCTCTTGCGCTTCTTGCTGTCAGCATAGCTGGCAAGCTCTTCGGCGTCCTTGCGTAATCTCGTCGCGCGTTTTCCGTGAGTGCCACCGGGGCTTGCCGGGTTGGTGATGCTGAACTGGTTGGGGTGGAGCAGCAGCGCCGAGGAATCTGAGATCTCCAAGGCTTCCTTCTCCTTGTTCAGGCGGTACTTCCTCGACAGCAGGGTATTAACAAGTCTATCGCGGAGTGTTGAAGAAAGGGCTTGATGCTCGCGCTTAGCGGTTTCGACCTTGTAGAGGTATTCGTTCTTGTACTGGTGGAGGCGGCGCTCGTGCTCGTGCTGTTGTGGCATTTATTAGCTTCGCCGACGTGAAGACAGGGAAATGTCGGCCACACTTACCATGTGCTGAAGCAAATGAAAGTCTCTGTACTCAACGAGGTCCTCAATGCCCTGGACAAAGTCCTCGAAATTGGGGCCCGCCATCTGGAGCAGAGTGCGGTTGCTGTCGGATAGCGCCTCTTGTCCTTGCGTCTCCTCATGTTCCTGTCGCAGACTCGCGATGATGTTCAGGACATCGTCGGCGTAGGGGTCGATGCGCTGGACGAGGTTGGTGTCAACCTGGACCTTTTGAAGCTGATCGCGGTACCCGAGGTCACGATCCCGACTGAATTTCTCTTGCAGGTTGGCGATCTTGTCGACAAGTGCCTGGCGCTTGCGGTCGCGCTTCGATTGGGGCGCCGGAGAGGCTCGGCCGGCCTTTGGTTGAGCGGAAGCACCCCCCAAATTGGGGACGGCTGCTTCGTTGGCTGCCATTGTAATATTGACGGATAGCTTCGTGTATTGGCCGTTTGGAAGTATAATCAATTCGTTTGTTCAAGAGGAGTAGCGTTGTTGTACTTGGGGAGAATGATACGGTCTGGATGTGTGTCGGGCGACCGTCGCAAACCGTAGCTCAAGCAAGACGAAGTTCGCTGGAGGGAGAGTTTGAAGGAAAGGGATTCGGTAGTCGATTCGACAGAGAAGGTGCCTCTAATTTACGACTCTCGAGTATGGAGGATATCATTCAGTCGCCCATTCGAAGCGGTAGCTCTTGCCGGTGTGTTTGTGTGGGAGAACGTAGAATCGGAGAAAGGTGAGGGTACTGCGGAACGAGATGGTCCTGTGCAGTGTGTGCTTGCCTTGTCAGCCTTTCCGCTAAGTGACCGCATGCGCCTCCAAGTTCTGTACCTGACCGCTGGAGGGGTGAATTTTTCTTATTGGACGGGGGTTGCCCGATGACTTCCGCAGGGGCCAGGGCACTTAGTGTGCGGAAGGGATGAAAAAACAAGCAGAGGTGGCCTGCCAGCTGCAATTCAGCGCATGCCGATTTTAGGCCGAACCCCCTAAGACTTCCAGCCTGCAAGGTACTACCTCCATGTGGAAGGCTTATGAGACGAACACTCTCAGATACAAGGTATACTCAGGGTAGGCTTTACATTCAACAGGTGTAAGATAAACCGAGATATGATACAATAAAAGATTGGACCTCTCATTATTTTTTTGTGTTCCACCATCTTCACCTCCATGAGGTTATAGGTTGTGTTATGAGCTCTCACTACCCCCTAGAAGCTCAAGATCCAGTGCTTTACCACTTGCATGCAAGGCTCCATAAGATGCCCGACCTCGTCAATCATATATTTACAGCCCGTTCCTGAGCTTCTGAAGCTGGCTCATCAAGCCGTAACCCCCAAGATACGTCTTGGTCTCCGCGGCATCAGCATGAACACTCCCCTTCCGCGCCCGCCCCTCATTCCCATCCCTCCTGCTCGCCTGATCAACCTCCCTCATGAGATCCCGATGCCGGTCCTCCACCATCTTGGCCAGGCTCTCAATGAACTTTGTCCTGCCCTTCTCCTCCGCCGTGCCCTTCCAGACTTTGTTGAGCTCCTTGAGCTCCTCGATCCGCTGCGCCGCCTTCTCGATGCCCTTGACGGGATCCTCCGACTTGGTCAGCAGCTGCGAGATCTCGTCCCGCAGACCCTGCAGCACCTGCTGGCCCTTCTCCTCCGTGCTGTGCTGCTCCGCTCCCGGGTCGGGCGCCGATACCGAGAGGAAGGACGAGCTGACCGAGAGCTCTGACGGCGGGAAGACAAATTCCATGGCGTCTCCAAAGGTCTTGATGACGGTGTCGAGGCGGGAGCGGACCACCGTCAGCGTCCGCAGCTGGTGGATGTAGGGTGGTTCTGAGGTTTCCGCCTTGCCCTCCGTGGCTGTAGCTTCGTCGTCGCCAGGTTTGCTGGCGCCCACGGACTCTCTCCTATCTTGCCCGTCCGCGGCCTTGGGAACCGTTCCCTTGGCCTCCTGGTCCACGCCACTCGGCGCGAACTTCTTGATGTCCTCCTGCAGCGTCTCATTCATCGTCTCAGCAAGACTCAAGGTCTCACCTCGGAGGAGCTCGACTTCGTAGGCGAGCCGGCTGCCGCTCCGAAGGATGTCGTCCGTCAACTGGGTCAACGTTCCGGAAAGCCTCGTCGTATGGATGTTGAGCTGGGACAGCAGCGTTTGCGCCTCATTGGACAAGTCGGCCAGCGGGACGGCCTGACCATTGCCATTGCTTCGTGATGAGTGGTAGCCACCATGTTGAAGCAGTGGCAGAGTAGCATTCAGATATGCTGCTGGGTCAAAAGAAGGATCCAGGAAGCTCTGTAGGAAATCGTCTGCTACATGGCTTGATTTGGGCTGGATTGTTGCTTCCGACTGTTCGCGAGTGTGAATAGGTAGCGTTTTGGTGGCGCCAGCATTGCTGCTCTGTCGGCGATGTAACGCCGACTTAGAATCCCACGACATATTTCCAGTGGGCATTCGATGCCGGAAATTAAAGAGATGAAATATTGGGCGTGTTGTCCCGAGTTGTTGACTCGCTGAGGACAAGTCTCATCTGAATGTATGAATCCATGCACTGAGTTTAGTGGTGAGAGGTTGGGCGGGTAGCTAGCCCCACTTTCACCCGTTGCCGCTCTCCCTTGCCCGAGAATCGGTACCTTCAACGTCTAGCTCCGATTTATTTCACGTCTCAAGGAATAACTCATCGAGTAAAGAAGGTCATGCCACGAAATGTCATGCTACAGTCAAATTTTAATTTCTTTCATGGTTCATTCGATTGCATTGCAGAAGCAGACCTCTAATTTGTCCACTATTGGGTATCTTTTGGCCATAGGAGCTCCCGTTTGTACAAACACCGAATCATCGTTACAAATACAATAAACCATATGACTATCAGACACGCTGCGAAGACGCAGCCAAATATCTGCAATCCGTTATTCTGCAAAGCCTTACCAAGCGCGGTCGTGGCTGTAACAAGTGCAGTGTTCGGGAAGACAAATGACCACCATGTCATTTGGAAAGGCATCTTGCTCTCTGGCCGCACATACTTCCAAAGTGATCCTACGGAGACGATGAAGAACCACATGCTCAGACCCCAGAGCCATAGCCCGATCAAGACTGACATGACTTTGATGATGGGCACGGCAAGGTCGGTGCCCAGGAAATTGCTGGGCAGAATTTTGTCTGCGGAATTGCCGAGTTGAACTGGAACATTTAGTCGGGCATCCAACCGTAGCAGTAAGAGGAACCCTACCTAAGCCTCCGACCGTGAAAGCAAATGGCCCAATAGAAATGAACTGGTTTGGTCAGCGTCACAGGTTCACGTTTGTATCAGGGACAATTACGCACCACACCAGGACGTTGAAAATCCCGCGGTAATTTCTGCGTCATCAGTCGATAGATAAAGGCAGCAGAGATCATAAAGGCAATCAAGCAGCCCGCGCCTTGCGTAGCGACCGCACAGAGAGCAATGGCAGTCCTATTGAGAGTAACGACCTGCTGGTTCGTTTGTACAGCAGCTTGTATAAGGTTGCTCGCAAAAGGTGCCGTGAGAAGCAGAGGGTAGGCTGGGAAGACCCAGGTAGGAGTCATGGTATGAATGGGAAATATCCTGATAACCGTTAACCAGAGCGAAACTACTCGCGTAGACTTAGAGGAAGCTCACAATGTCGACCAAAGAATCAGGTAAATAGTGGCACTGGCAAGCACACTCAAGGCTATGTAGAACCAGAACAGAATCTGCATGATTCTAAGGAGCCAGGGCCCTACATGCGGCACACCGAACTGGCATATGTTGATCGATATGATGGCGAAACTATAGCTGTTCAGTTGATGCCCCATTAGAACCGATCGAGCGGCTTACGAGACAACAGCAGAAGGAATGAAGAGCGATTCCGTCTGGTCTGTGAATGAATGGGTGAGGGCCCCCGGCCTAGATTTGAATCGAATACTGGCGAGGGCACAGTTCATGATGAAGAGGATGACATTGAGGAGGAAAAATGCTACGGCTATGCCGTTGAGCCAGGCAGCTTGGTAGGGAACTGTTCCAAGTTAGCATATGCGCCGAAACGTAGCACTCGATTTACTGACGAGAGTGTATCACATTCGCCATTCCTCCGGTTGCCTACGTTAAATCAGTATCTTCTGAATATGATTTGTCGCATATTGCCTACCATCGTCTACTAATCGTCAGCATCGGCCTTTTTCAGGTAAGCGGGTGTATTACCATAGTGAACCAAGTCCAGGTATGACAGGCGATCCGATCTCGAATTCCTACTTTGCCCAAGCTAAAGTGCTTCTCCAGCGTAGCTTTGGCGTTGTTTGGACTAGACTCATTTGACTCTGCCTGCCGCTCGGCCGGAGGCATCGCCGTGCTGTCCTCCGTTTCAAAGGCCGGTCCATGGGAGGAACGAGGAACAAAGGGGGGTCGTCTCAAAGGAGATCTAGGTAAGGGCAATGATGCCAAAGGAGATTCGTTCGGAGTAGCAAAGTACGAGGGACGATTGCTGTGCTCATCCGGGGTCTGGTAGCCACAGTTGGCTACCATTTCATGGGTGGGGGCCATTTTGCGGTGGGAGAATCCCAATCTTCAGGTCCTCGAGCCAGTAGCTTCGACACAACGTAAAGAGGGAAGAGTAGGCTGGGTTCAGCATTGGAGAGGGCGATGTTCATGTAGACAAGGTTGGTGATGAAAACAACGTGGTCGAGAAACAGAGAGCCGAGATCGAAAAGAGGCATGCTCAAAAGCGGGCGGGCGTCCTTGAACGCAGTTCCGCGCAGTGCGGGTTGAGTGAAGGTGTGTCGTTGGGAGAGGCGTGAGGGGAGAATTAGCCCCGGGTGTGGACGAGACGTGTGGGTGGATATAGTCAGATGCCGTCCTGGTTGTGTCGTGGTGCAGGGCCACAAACGCAGATCCTAGCTCCTTCCTTGCGCCAGGGTGAACAACGAGTCGTCGTGTAGGCTGCAGCCAAGGCAGTCTGTGGTGGTGTCGTTAAGTTTTTTTTCCCTGGGCTTGTTCCGTCGTGGACAGACGGAGTTGTTATGGTGTTTGTGGTGGCAGTCGCGTGGAAGATGTACACCGACAATGACGCGCTCAACAGTTGGAATCACGATGGACTGGAAGCTGGCCGGGGATTCGTTATTCGCAATGAGATTTCACGGTCAATGCTAGGAGTGACTTCTCTTGGTGTTACGGGAGATGGCCCGGCTTGGTGAGTAAGGCAAATCCTAGTGAGAGGTTGTGAAGTGTAAAGTGGTGCCTGCGTCATACAGAGAGTTGGCGGTAGCAACGACGTGCTAGAACTTGCCCAGAGAACCGGATATGACCCTGCCGCGGATGACACAGCACGACCGGGGTCTCAGCACATCATGTGGGGTCAACCAACACCTGGAAGCTGTCACTGCCTTATCACAAATGCAGCAGAGATGCAGAGTCTTAATGAACCAGTTGTCAAACTTTTCTTCCCTATTTTCCTTTGCGAACAGCTCGCTCAAAAGTAGCAAAGTGGACAACGAAACAAAAGCTGGCCTGGAAAGTAGTCGCCGCCGGCGTTCGACCATCTTGATAAGACTTGAAAAGCAACCTTAAGGTACTCTGCATTTATTTCCAGCGCAACGCTCTTTTCATCACTGCCGGGGGTCGGTAGCTTATCGTCGACATCGCTGATAGGATGTGCGTTACCGGCCAGCGACAACGCTAGACATGTGGGGGACAACGGTTCGGATCTCGACCTCTACCAAAGTTACGTCCTTCAACAACCGACCGGGCCGGTATTTCCGGCCGAACATCTAGCCCAAGACTTCGACTACACCCACCCACCTGGGCTATCACACCATCCAGACTTCAACTCAAGTTTCGAGGAAGGCAATACCTCCATTTCCTTCGCTGCTACAGATTCATACATGCACGCCGTACCCGCAGTGCAGCAGCAATGACGCCTGAATTGTGGGTTTATATGCCCCCATATAAGTAGGTAGTCAAGTAGTGTCGTTGTTGCCATGTGAAATGTGATGGGCCGGTCGCCCTCACTGCTATCGCCCTGAAGTAAGGTATATCGCCGACGGGTACGTCGTTCCTTCCCAAGTGGGATGAACAACCTTTCCTTCCGATCTAAGGTGGTACTTCAAGGTACCTTGTACCTGAGCATCTGAGATTTCAACGACACTCGCTGCTCTCGATTGAATGCATATCCCAAAACCACCGAAATAAAGTGTTCATCTCTGACGATGAGGTACCATTTTCCTCCAAACCATGACCACAATTGCTCTATCGCTTGACCCAGTTGTTCTGTCTAACCCCACAACTGAAACTATCCTTGACATCGCGAGTACGATTTCCTTCCGCTCGTCAACAGACCGAAAACTACCTTCGACTATCAACGAGCTGCTCGCTGGGATTCAAGCAGGAGATTTGTTTATACTCAAGGCTCAACTTTGCTCTTTCCTAGTCTCGCTCACCCAGGAGGAAAGCAATGCAGAAGACCAAACGGTTCTCATGGACACCATTGCCGCTGACATAACAAGCTATCCGGCAAGCAACATTATTGATGATGTCCGGCACTTGCTAATCGGTCACAGATCTGGGCCCAGTTAGGAGTCGTTATAGTGCACAATGTGGAGAGTCCGTCCAGCCATCGGCATATATCGTTCAAGATTGAGCATAAAGAAGCTGTCTTACACCCAACTCTGCCCCCCAACACTACGGTCATTACTATGCAGCATCTGACCTGCTCGTTCTATATTCATCAGGAACCATCCATCCCCGAAGGTCCTGTGGAATCAACCTCTCAAAGGACGTCATCGATAACTAGCAGTCATGGCGCTCTCCCTGATTCAGAAAGTGGCTTTGGTTTGGACGTCTGGTGCGTGGAATAGGGTTCACCCGACGAAATTGACGATCCTTTCAACAGTCAAGACTCAGGCGTATGTCTTCTACCTTGCGATGCTGCCGCTGCATGCGACAAACAAAGGTCTCAAGATGGAGAGGTCGCTTCTTCCATAGGTCGACTTGTAGAAGCCGGTCTCGAAGCGTTGGTTGTTGGTCGCAGGCCTGTTGGCGGTATCAGAACACTGAGCACGACGAGAATACCAATTATCTGCCTCGTTCCCGAGGTTTTCAACATGAACTATCTTTCGGTGAGTCGTCCGGCTGACCATTCCTCATACCGACGCAAGAACTAATCGAGACAAAGTCCTTGACATATCGATCTCGCCTTTTACCAGCGTTGTCCTCTGTGTTTCAGGACCTTACTCACTTTGAGTCTTGTCGATTACGAGACTATGATTCCGCCTCTCATGGCATCCCCGCAGGCAGTCTTCAAAGCGCAGCTCAGAATCACGATATCCATGACTTTGGGCACCGAATTTGGAGGCTTTTGCGTGCGCACATACCCGCTTGCGAAGAGACCAAATTCTCACAGCAACAATCCCGAGGATTGGGGCGTCCGGAGGAACACTCAAGAGTACCGGCCATTGATGCCATGATTGCGTACGGAACTATGTCAGAGGATGAAGCTTCACTCCATGAAGAAATCGGCTTTGCGACTAATGATGGATGTGAGGTGAATCAGGATCGCGATGTCCTAGAGACGGTATCAGACATCGATATGGAGTTTGACCAGGACACGCCGCCTTCATGGACCATTGACGATAATCCGCTATTGCCTTCTTCACCCCTGACTATGAAATCCCTCAGGGACTGGAGCGAGCTTAGACACGAGCATGAAGCATTCGACGATGAGGATGGCTACCCAGAAGATATTTCGGACTACGAAACCCATCTAGAGGCTTATGGCTCACCATTCTCACCACTTCCAAGCTCGTACTTTGGAAGAACTTCCGAACCAAACAGCGAGGCCGACTTAGAGGCGCATAGGCCGAATCAAGCTTTCAACCTGGCAGACACATCAATGCCACCTCTTGTTTCATTGCGAGAACTGGTCGCGGCCGGTCCTGCAAGTTACAGTGATCAGTCGAACTTCGGCCCTGATAACGGCGAGACCGACTTCGGAGAAGGCCACGATGCCAGCGATTACCAAAGGCAACGGTCAATTTCTCGCATATCATATAGCGACTGGCGGAATGACGAGGACGAGGATGAGGGGCCGTTTTCGGAGCTATCGTTCCAACCAACCAGCCATGACCGCCAACCGGATGATGATGATGGGATATGCGGGGAATCTGAACTCGGTCGGAGGCCCTTGGATTACATCTGGCCAAGCGAAGTCTTCTCCGGAAGCGAAATTGACCTTTACGACGACCAAATCGAGTAGATCAACCGTCGAAGACCTACTGGCAGCCTATGGGCTGATATTTCGCCAATGTCCACACCGAGGTCAGGGAACGGAGTTTCAAGAGATATATTGCAAGAAATGGATGTCGAACGCAGCCTGTGACATTCGAGCATCACAAACTGTGGTATCTGCCGCTCAAGCGCGGCCATAAAAACCGACTCATTTCTGAAGCCTTAATACAATTCATTATCCAACCACTCGCCCCATAGTTGCAGCTGAGAAGAGCCCGCCACCGCGATGTTTCCTCTAGTGCCTGGGCATGCATTGTGTCTCCCTCAGCGACGTAATGGCGTTGATAATCCACCACTTTATACAGGTCCCAGTGCCTGTCTTCGCAACGAATTTTCCGAAAAATGCGTGCCTTTCAGGCCGCAATCGCTCTTATTTCTTTCCTCCCTTGCCTCCCTTCTTCGGCTCCTTCTTCTTTTTCTGTTCGGGCTTCAATGTCGCAAAGTGGATGTACCAGAGAAGCACTCCCTGGAGGATGACGGCGACGAGAACGATCAGGAGGATGGTGAAGAGAATGGGCTGGTCATTCAGAACCGCGACAGCCTCAGGCGTCGCGCCAATAGATCGGAACCAGTCGAATTGACCCATTGTTGCGGTCTCGAATCTTTCCGGGTTGATCGATATTCGGGTGCGGTGCAAGCGCGATGGCTCCCAGAATCGTGCTGGCTTACGCCTTGCCGGTCTTTGATTTTCGGCGGCTGGTTGAAGAGGTGCGAAGTCTGCTCAGGCACCTGTGACGGGCGGTATGGACTGTGGTGGTTGGAATTAAAGGTGTGTACAGGAAAGTCAAGAATGAAGGTCTGAGTCTCAAGTGCGCCAGTCACAAGGAAACAACAAAAAAATGTACGTATTGTTGGGGGACCGGATTAGAAGGTTTTTGTTCGACAGCAGGAAACACGAGATGCGAAAAGCAGTCCAGAAGGAGAAGGGAAAAGAATAGGAGGGTTAGTAGGGGCCAAGATGTAGGGAAAATGATCCGCTCGGCTTCTCGAAACGGGAGACGTCACAATTGGGTGCGCTTCAAGGGCGAGGAGGTGGCCCTACGGTGGCCATGCCACCACCGTGGTGTGCCTTTTCGCAGGCTAGACCGCCTTGGGGGTATGAGACCAGGACGCGACATGGCCGCATCGTGGTGGTTGAATGTGTGAGGGAGGACGCTGCCAGGGGAGGGGCGGCATCGATGCGCGTTTCAGGCCTGCGGCAGAAAGTCGACTGATGTCTGCTGCGGGTGATTGGCTGTGCAGGGACGAGCTGCAGCGGTTACTTCGGCACTAAAAAGGGGACTTGGGCTTCTTCACGGGAAAGACGTTCTGTTGCAGGCAAGTATTACACATCGGATTAGCCATGTGGATGTTGAGCTGGCAACGACATCAAAGGAGGTCTTTGCGCTCTGTCCAGTTGGGAGAGCTTAGGCTTGGCTTCGTGACACCTTAGAAATGATACTTACCAATATAACATACCGAATACTCCAGTCTAAATGCTTTGCGACATGAGCTTGACAGAGGTTGGCCGGTAGCCAACGATGAAGGCGGGAGTCGGAACAAGACCGTGCACTCCAGAATTAAGTAAGCTAGGTAGGTAGCCCCTGGACTACAGCGCAATCTCGGTGAGCTGAGAGCTTTCGGTATGACACCAATCAAAAGTTGTTGACCCTTGCATGGTCATGTGACTCGAGGAACATCTCCGCGCCGTCATGCCCGTGATCGCACGGGCCACGGGCGGGAGAAGACCGGGCTTATTGACCAATGACATGGCCTGTATCCGTCCAAGGCAATTGACTGCGAGACGATCCAATTGAGCTTTCCAAAAAAATTGTCGACCAGCTGGCGCGACCCTGAGCTCAAGACCAAAAGAGCCCATCACGCGACTTGCACCCAGTCCCCGACGACCTCATTCTACCCCTTTGCTGCCGGCAACGAACTGGCGCAGAGACGTCGCCCCTCTCTGCTGCGATGAACTCGGTACGCCCGGCGCGGAGCGTCTTGTCGAGATGCGTCTCCTCCGCCTCGAGCGCACCGGCCGCCCTTCCTTACCGTCTATTCCACAGCTCCGTTAGCAGGTCAGGTCGGAGGCGGTCACGATTCAACAATATCACCGCCGAGAAGATGGGTCTGACGACCCCTGATGCCATCGAAAAGTATGCGAAACAACACTTCCCCGAGTACACGGAACAGCAAAAGGAGTTTCTGAAGGAGAAGTACACCCCCGAGCAGTGGGAAGCTCTCCAGGCCGCCGAGGAGGCCATTGACCCGAAAGATTTGGTGATTCAGGGTCGGTTACGGACGGATCCTTACACGCAGCCCTATATCGACGACTTCTCAACGGTCCAGCCCATCATCGATGCGAAACCCCAAGCGCCTGCGAAGCCCGTGGAGCCGAAATGGCTCCCGAGGAGAATGTGGATCGACGACTACATTGAGAAGATGGCCGACAGGGTCGGCGGCCAGATGCAGGACACCATGGGCAAGGCGTTTGCCCGGGCGCTGCGCAACATTTCAAAGACGAACCCCGCGAAGCTCGACTTCACCGAGGAGGAGCTGCACGAGCTCGAGACCAACCCCGAGTTGCGCCGCAAGTTCCTTGTCGACAACGAGGCCGATGTGCTCGGGGCGAAGAAGGAGAAGAAGGCCGGGGCGGCGTCCATCGCAACCGACGACTGGCTGAAGCAGTTTGACCAGGAATTCTTCAACGAGCTGGAGGGCTCCCTGAGCACCTCGGAAAACCCCCTTCGCTCCCGCGTGGCCTTGTGGAAGGAAGCCGACGGCAAGGGCACTTCCGCGCTCGCCCCTGAGCTCGGCAAGGTTGAGGGTGTCAAGGGACTCTACCAACCTCCGGAAGACGTCGAGGACGACGGCCTCGACCCCACGGGTCGCTTCATTAAGCTCAAGCAGGCCACCGGCATGAAGATTAGCGATATCCTCTCCATCCTCACCAAGAGAGTCGTCGTTCGATCCGTTTCTAACCAGACTCGTCTGGGTAAGATCCGCAGTGCTTCCGTCATCGTCGTAGCCGGTAACGGAGACGGCAGACTGGGATTGGGAGAGGCCAAGTCGACGGACCCCGGTATTGCAACAGCGACGGCCACGCTTCTGGCTATCCGCAACATGAAGCCTATCCGCAGATACGAGAACCGCACCATCTACGGCAACGTCGAGACCAAGATCTCGGGAACTGTTGTGCAGCTCTTTGCCCGTCCCCCAGGTACGTTCTAGCCCTGCTCGCTCCTCGTCCTCTGTTATTTGTTTGACATAATTATACTGACACACAAGCAGGCTTCGGACTCCGTGTCTCTCACAGGATATTCGAAATGGCCCGTCTCGCCGGTATCCACGATCTGGCGGCCAAGATCCCCCGCTCCAAGAACCCCTACAACACCGTCAACGCCGTCTACAAGGCCCTCATGAACCAACCTGATCCGGAGGAGATTGCCATCGGTCGCGGGAAGAAGATGGTCGATGTGAGAAAGGTCTACTACGGCGGATCTGTGTATTAATCTGTATACCACTTCTGTATACCACTGTATATGTTCAAACAAAAAGCGCAAATCTCTAGAGAGCCCCGTCTGTGCCCCTCTTGCTCTCGCGAACAGTGACATAAATCTCGACGTCATAAAGTGATTGGCGTCGTGAATTGTTTTCTTTGGGGTATCTGCTCTGATCGTAGTCTCGTCATGCATTTGTGCACTCTCTCCATCTTCATTTCGCAGTGCAGCCCGGACAAAACTGCCGCAAATTGCAGCATGCCTCCTCTCAATATAGATGTTGCACCCTTGTTATCCCATGTATTTGTCTTCCTCTACTCCTCCTCCTCCTCCTCCTGGCTCCTGGCTTGGTCACCCCAATCGATCTCCTGCTGCAGCACTATGCTGTACACGCTCGCCTTGAGGAGCGTAAATACCAAGCTCGTCTTGCGCTCCAGCTCCCGCAGGCCGTCGAGGATCTCGGTGCTCGGCGAGCCGCTCAGGTCTTCGAGTGTTGAAGCAAGCTACGGTACAAAAAAGGGGGACAAGTTAGCTTTGCAGGTCTTTGGGATCGGGTAGAGGGGAGAGGGGGGGAAGGGGGGAAGGTCCGAGCCTGAGTGTAAGGTAGGAAGCTAGCGACGAGACGAACTTTTTTCATGTTATCCGCCAACTTTTCGTACTCTTCCAGCACCTCGGCCTCCAACGGCGACAACTCCGGCTGTGAATGCAGCAGCGTGGAGTCCCGCCCCTGTTCCATTGTGATGATGCAGCTGTCTCTGCTTTGCTCTGTTTCGTACGATATTACCAAACTCAGGTCTGGTCGGCGCTCACTTGGTTCTTCGTTCTGGTCAATTATCGGCGGGAAGTTGTTTCGGTGAGTCGCGGTGGGACGCGTTGTGGCTTGAACCCCGCCAATCTAACCTTGGGCGAGGTGTCCAGGAACCTACCTACCCCGAAAAAAAGCATCAGTCCCCCTTGTCGGTGAGGTGAAGTGCATCTTTCGGTGAGCGCCTTACCTAATGGGGAGGGACTTGTAAGCGGCTCGTGCGCCTTCACCCACACCAGAAATGCGCGCGGACTTCCCGTCATCTTCCAACAACGTCCGTTCACACCTCCATCTTTCAAGGCATTTTGGCGGTAAAGGAGATTATCGTTAGAGCGTCTTACATGACGTCTAAGTATGCCCCTTCAGATGTCTTTCTTGTCAGGGGAGGAGAAGGTTGAGTAAGAGTCTGTACGCGAGGCACTGAATCATAGCGTTCAAGCCGTCTGTTACCTTCATCGAGAGGTTCTCTATGAGCTGGCAATGAGAGATGACTTTGAGTTACCACCATCGCCGCCTACCTCTATGAACATACAACCAACACCAATTTTCTCTAACTTTCGCAATTATGAAGAGCATTTATCGTCGGTGCCAATTCTACCAAGCGTGCTGTGTGCCGAACCTGATCATGAGCACGTCCCAAACCACACATTGTTCGCATCCTTCAAGTAAAAGGGATGGCTTGACGTGGCAAGCCTACTACTCATCGACATCTGCCCCGGATGGTTTCAGGACTAGACTAGAGCACGCGAATCTCGTCCCCGTCATTTCGCGACAGTCAGCCACCAAGCTGCCATGGCCGGCCGACACCACCAAAACTACATCTCACTTTGGACCCAAAGTCGGACTAAGACGGGACTAGAGCACAGGTGAGAGAGCTTAGGGGGTGGGGAAGCTCTAAATCCAGATGCTCTAGCTCAGGTCACTTGATGAACCAACAATGGCACCAAAATGCCAGCCATGGCTTCAATCTCACTTCTTTAATAAGTCGAGGGTGATCTTTCTTTTCTGGCGTCGTTCGAGATGGTTCTCGTCGAAAAAAAGAGGAGATTTTCACAACATAGCACCCAGCCGGCAGCGCGAAACGGTCAAAAAAGTGGCTTACATCAAACCAAAACTGAATAGGGAAGCAATGGTCGGATCAAAGACATTCGAGCAGTCGCCGCCTCTCACGGCCAGCGACTCGGCCGAACTCCACACAAAACGCTCCAACACGCCCGCGCTCCTCGTCCGGCGATCGTCCTTGATGAGCAAGTTCCCCGAGTCGAGCTCCTCCGCCTACGTCCTCGACTGGGAGACGGACAAGTGCAAGCAGCGCCTCCTGAACCACGCCGAAGACCTCTTGAGGGAAGCCGTGGGCCGGAGGCGGCTCACCATCGTTCAGGGCCTGCCGCTGGATCTGGTCCAGGTGCTGCGGGATTCCCTGGGCGTGAACTCTGGGTTTCTCGAAGCGCATGCGGGGAGGCGGCGGCATCGGCCGTCTAGGAACGACGAGGGCTCGAGTTTTGTTTCGTTTGCGTATCCGGAGCTGGTTAAGACTACGAGGGGGAACTATGGCCCGGATCCTGGGTACAAGCCGTCGGCGAGACAATCTGATCTGGTGGATGTGATGGACGAGGCGCCCTTTCATATGATGTCGAGGGATGGGCAGGCAGTCATGTTCTGCCAGGCATCATTATGGATGAGCAGCAAAGCTGATGGTAAGTTCTCAATGGGTCCTGATGGATTCATATGCTGACTTATGCCTTTAGTCCTATTCCTAGACCGTCCCATCTGGAACGACCCCTCATCACAGGTTCAAAAGGCGCGGAGACCACTCTCCGTCACCCGCTCATGGCAAAGTAAAATAGACGAGTCCCAAATGGATGGCACCTCAGTCTGGAACGTTCTCATAGCCGAAGGCGATGAGCTCCCAGGCCTCGAAGACAGCCTCCTCCGCACCTTTCGTCACTCCAACGTCACGAGGCAAACCCTTCCCGAGATCCTCTGCGAGGCGGTCCACGATAAGTGGCTCGACTTTTTCGAGACCCTCCCCTCGTGCTCCCAGCCTGGATCCCTTCAGGACGGGGGACTCTACTGGCAGGCGACAGAGTCCCTCGAGCAGAACCTCGAGCTTGCGCAGGACCACATGCGCCAGCCGCTCCTGGGCGGCGGCGGCGGCATACGGTACCCGGACTGGCGGTCTCTCCTGGAGCGACTCCAGCGCCGCGTCGCCATCTCGAAGCTCGGTTCGACGCCGAGGCCGCAGACCGCGTGGCCCCGGACGCAGCCGACGACGGCGGTCCTCCAGACGCGGGATGTCAATATGCCCATGCAAGGCACCAACAACCAGCCGTACCCGGATGCCATGGCCGCAGACAGCGGCAAAGAAGCGAACCAGCGCGCCCTCGACCGCGTAACGTACTTAGGAGGCATACTCCTCCCCTTCACGGTAGTCTCCGCCATCCTCTCCATGAACGACGAGTACTCTCCCAACGCGCCGCGGTTCTGGGTCTTTTGGGTCTCCTCCATCGGCGCCGCCATCCTGTGTCTCCTCATCATCTACCTAGACCAGCTGCGCTGTCTAGAGGTGTATTTCGAAGTAGCTGCCGCGGGGACGGTCGAGTCCTTCTTCCCCTCCAGCAAAACACACACCGCCGCCGCCGCCACCAACGGGATATCTCTCATGTCGATGCCCCCGCAGTCGAGATGGCGCCGGCAGGCGACGGAGATGTACATGGACATGGCGGAGCCCGGTGGCGGAGACGTCGAGGTCATGGCCGACTCGGCGGTGAACCCTACCATGGTCGTGCAGCAGGGCCGGGACGGGTCGAACACCAAGGCGTGGCGGAGGAGGCAGCTCGGTTGGGGCGGCGCGGTGAAGAAGGTTGTTGGGTATTATCGGTGGACGGGCGGCAAGCCGGTGCAGATTAGTCCGTATGGGTCAGAGAGGCTTCAGATGAAGACGATTTGAAGTGTGTGGTGTAGTAGTTACGATAATGATAACCTCGGTCTGGTCAATGGAAAAGTCTACCTTTGATTTGATTGTACGACGGTATTTGGTTGCGTCCAATATGACTTGTTCACTACCTTAACTACTTAAAGTGTCTAGAATGGGCTAAATTTTGTTCTATTTGGTTCTCCGTTCTGTTTGTCCCATACTTTTTTTGCCAAACATTAAGGAGGGCAGGCAACTGACGCCTATTAGGGCGCGCAGCTGAAGAACAATGTAAGCCTGTGTTTTTTACTAAATATCAAAAGACGCCTGTATTTCGACACTGCACATACAGCTGTAGTCTCTTCAAAGTCATCTTTCTACCCGGGGGCAGATTAGCAACTATTGGCATCTTGATATCTGTAAAGGGGCATCGCATAAATAGGGTCGCTGCGCGGGACCGCCCGAACCCCGCTAGATGAGGCCGGCGTGGGGCCGTGTCCGGATGCAACGTCTGATAAGAAAAGCCGGTCTTTCTGCTCCGGAAGTATGGAGTCCTCATTAAATACCTGTGGGGAGCTTTCGACTCCCTCTCGACCCTGAGCAACCTGGGAAAGACCATACAGTTGAGAATTCAAGGAGAGATTGCATCTGCTGAAAATGCCCAATCATCTTGCTAGAACAGGAATACGGCGGTTGGTACAGCGTTGCAGACTGTTGGTTGGTAGCAAGGGGGTAGGCAGCAGGCGACAGCCTACAGGGTACTAAAGGCAACTTGTAGACCCCAACGATCTCAACCAACAAGTTGGAACATAATGGTGCTTTGTCTTTGGGCGTCACATTCGACAATTTGCGGCCTAGCACGGAAAAGAATGGCCTAGATTGGGGGCCGCACCGTGATTGCCTTGGTCCACTTCTATGCCATCCATGAATGTCACTGCAGGTGAATCGTAGATCCGTTTCTACCCAGGCTGGCGGATGCCTCAGCCAACAGTCTGTTTAGTTATGTACAACCCACGTTTTCATTGTTGCTAGGTATGCCCCTTTCATCCTGCCGTAATCCTAGAGGTATTGGATAGCACTAAGCCCAACTTCTATCACCATTGCTCCGATCTCCACGTTTTGTGACCCCTAGCCCATCCCCAAACGCAACACTTTGAAATTTGATGTAGTTGCCATCTGGTTCGATTTTTTCCATCATCTTTCTCAAGCGGCAGGTAGGTAGTCAGTCACTGCCACCTTCCTCCCTCTTTGCGCCTGCCTGCCTGGGTTGCTCTCCACTATCGTCCCGTCCACCCATCTGCCTGCCTGCCTACCTACCTACCTTACCCTTCCCTCACCTTTCCTTCTCACCACCTCCCACTCTGCCTTACCCTACCTTACCTCGAAGCATCCTACACATTCCTCGAGGCTACGTCCAAAGCCTAGCATATTGTCTCAATTTCTCGATTGATGGCACTCAACATGGGACTCATCGGCCTGTGAGCACTTCTATCTATTTCTTTCACTGGCTATTCTTTGGTGTGAAGCTCCAGGAGATACTCCATCCAGAGTCGCTTTTGTACCTCTCCAGGTCGTTTAAAGCCAAGCGAGTTCCCGTACCATTTTATTCATTTACTTCTTCCATACACTTTCCCCATACCTGCTGTACATTCATTGCTTGGCTAACATTCTTCCCAGAGAAGGCAGCCGCTACTGGTTACTTTTTGTATCGAAGCGGCACAACTCGACTTCTGAATATCGCTTTAGCTTGTTCACATTGCTACTCCACTACTCTTCACCATGACACGCCACAAATTCAATGCCGATCTGGCTCAGGCATCCCGCGAGCAAGTTGAGCATATCTCGGGTCTTCGGAAAGGAGATGATGATGGCGAACTCACCTTCGTTCTTTCTCATGATGCTCTGCCATCTCCTCTCACCGTTTGCTTTACTGCCCTGAACGTGGACGATTACCCGCATGGCCTTGGCTTTGTGGCATATACCAAAGAGGAATCTGTCCCGAGTGCGGTTTCCAAGGTCCTTGACGATATCCCCAACCTCAGTCAGGGCAGAACCATACTCAAAACGCTGGTAATGATCTCAAAGAAGCTGAGCTCAACCCTCAACTCGGCGAACATTGACGAAGGCTCGGATGTGGAAATGACAGATATTGACGACGACGAACATTGCGGCAATCACGAAGACGAGGACGAAGAAGAGTACGACGACGAGGACTACGAATATGACGATATTGACTTCGGCATTGATTTTGGCGGTGATGCTGCTCCGCAAGTACCCAGCCATTCAGCCAAGTTCCCTAGCCGCCTAATCGACGATCTTCAGAAAGCCAAAGACGTCGGTTTCAAGATCTCTCTGTTGGGCGACGCTGCCACACATGAGGAAAGTTGCATCTTCGCACTTTCCCTTCTAGTCGAACACCTGGGGATTAGCGAGGACACACTAGAGGCCTGGGAAGTTAGCGCTTCAGATTACATCGTATTGCTATTCAAGTACGATGCAGGTTATCCTTGTGTGGAAACCTTTACGAAGCTTCCACCAGGTCATTCAGAATCTATGCAGTTTCGTTTGGGAAAATGCGCCTCTTTCAAGCCCACCCTTCACTCAGCACTCATTCCATTCCAAAAGAATCTCGACACTGCCAAGAAGAGCTCAGAGAAAGACGGCCTGCCGAGTGAGACCTCTCGCGAGGCGGCGTTTTGCCCGATGCCCATTTCGGACTCGCTGGATATTTTCCTGAATAAGGAGTTTCTTAACCTGCTGAAGACTCGATTGGACTGTGGTGTCTCCTGGGACCGCGCAAAGGACATGATGGAGGAGATGACCAAAGAAGGGCACCTACGTGTCGACAGCTCCACGCAGAGCAGTCCCGATTCGAAGCGAAGCCAAACGGCCGACAGCTCGGTTGAAGAAGAGGCTCAAGTCTCGACGTCAGCTCTCACATCGCTCAACAAGGACTACGTACGACAAAATCCCCGGGATGCAGGCCCATCGCCGCGCGAAGAACTCAGCTTGCCTCTGATTGCGATGCAGTTCGCTCTGCGCTACTTTGTGAAAAGCACGCAGTACTGCCTCGTCTGCCATCGCAAAACTGAACCTGGATTTACTGCTCTCAAGCCGTACGTCTGCAACGATCCTCTCTGTCTCTTCCAGTATATGGCTTTAGGTCTGGGTCCCAGTACTGAGCACGACATCATCGCTCGTCCCTATGTCGTCGACCTGTTGATCAGCTTCTGCGCTGCTGCTCTGAAAAGTGGCCGAATTCGAGAATGGCCGCGAGGTCTGTCTATCAAAGTCCCCGTCCCGAGCCATGTCACACCAAGAGATTTCACGTCCGGAATGAACAGATTTCAGGCAACAATGATGCCGGTCCCGATTCAGGCCCCGATCCAGGCCCCGATCCAGCCCCAGATAGTACAGGATTCCGGAATTCTAGTCTGGGCCCGAATTTCTGCTGGAAAGTTCAACGTGCGCGCTTCCGAGAAACTGGAGAGGTTGCGACCAGGAGACATGGTCATTCTGGCCAAACGTGTTTCGCGCCGCGATGGGAAAGATCTAAACATGCACCATTGCCGCATCACCTCAGTCAACACGATCCATGACGACAGCGGCAACGATTGTGGCAAAGCGTTTGAGTTCGATCGTCTCATATCAACCGACAAAGTAACGTACCATAGTACAGTTGTTCAACCGCGCCCTCAGTACCTTCAACCGCCTTCTGAGACAACACACGTCTATCACGAAGAACACATCGATGACGAGGAGGGCGATGCTGAGCTGTATCTCTACGACCATGATCTCGACAGTCTGAGCGAAGCCCATCGGAGGGAGGCGTTATTGATTCTCGTGCAGACGATCCCTCCCATCAGATACCTACGGGACTTCCTTCTTAGCCACCAAGGCTGGTCTCTATCTAAGTACAAGATGATATCCAAGTCGGCTGTGGCTTTGCTTCGATGGATTATGGCTTCCAACCGCTCGCTCATTGTACAGATTGACCAGCCGGTTGACCTTGACATTGGCGGGATTCAAGCGACTGAGGCTCGACAGAAGGAACGCTTCGTCGGATTGGGTGACGATTGGATGCAATTCCGCTTTGCCCAAGGATTTCCTGAGAAAGAGAATCGGTTCAAGAAAGAGCTTGAGAAGGAGGCGAGTCAAAAATACCCAACGATGTTTGCGTGGCACGGGAGCCCGCTCGGAAATTGGCACAGCATCATCCGGACTGGTTTGGACTTCAAAGTAGTGCTCCATGGCCGTGCCTATGGTCATGGAGTGTACTTCGCCCGCGATTTCGCAACAAGCTTGGGCTACTGCATGAAGCAGGGCAACGAGACATCATGGGCGGGTTCGGAACTCAAGCTGTACGCCGCTATGAGTCTTTGCGAAATTATCAACCGTCCGGAAAGATTCAAATCCGTTCATCCGTACTATGTTGTCGACGAGGTTGATTGGATCCAGTGCCGCTACCTCATTATTCAGCGCAACCAATCAGTGAAGCACGAAGAAGAGCCAGAGACGAAGCCGGAGTACATCTTACAAGATCCCAAGTGGCAACCGGTGGGGATTGACAATACCGCGTTGGAGATCCCAGCCGCAGCACTGCCAAAGTGGCGCCAGAAATCCGTGGTCCCAGGGTCCTCGTGGTCTCAGCCGATCGTCCTCACGGATGATTCGGGCGACGACCAGCCAGATGACTTTGACAAGATCATGGACCTCCAAAAGGAGACAGAGAACGACGACAAAGACACCGGTACAGTCGTCCTTGATGCCGAACCAGAGACTGATCCAGACAAGACCTCTTTCACGCCAGGCACACTTGACGTAACGACACTGCCTCAGCTGCCGGCGCCGAGCTGGGCTTCGGATGCGGGGCGAAAGGTCCTCGGCAAAGAGCTTGGCAAGTTACAGAAGGTGCAGGCTACAACACCTCTTCATCAGCTCGGCTGGTTCATCGACTTTAGCAACATTACAAACATGTTCCAGTGGATCGTTGAGCTGCACAGCTTCGAAAAGTCTTTGCCTCTTGCGCAGGATATGGAGCGAGCAGGCGTTGAGAGCATCGTCCTCGAGCTCCGATTTGGTCGCCAGTTCCCTCACTCGCCCCCCTTCGTCCGGGTCGTTCGCCCCCGTTTCTTACCATTTTCGCGCAGAGGTGGTGGTCATGTCACGGCTGGCGGTGCCATGTGCATGGAGCTTCTGACGAACAGCGGTTGGTCTGTTGCGAGCAGTATGGAGAGTGTTCTACTCCAGGTTCGCTTGGCTCTGTGCAATCTCGAGCCGTTTCCAGCAAGACTTGAGTACCAGGGAACAGGCCAAATGACTGGAGGAGGACCCGACTATGGCGTCGGCGAGGCCATTGATGCGTACAGACGCTCTGCCATGGCCCATGGCTGGCAGGTGCCTTCAGACCTACACTTGACGGCCAATGCGATGTGAAGGACAGGGCAAGCAGGGTCGATGGACAGAGTTGATAACTTCTCCAGCAAGGTGTGCTTGCTCATGATAAGGCGTTTTTATGGAGGCTACTTGAGGTGGGGGCTAAGGGCTTCGAAAGAAGCGGGCATAGGAGTCAAGGGACATGGGAATGGCGGCATGGTCCATAGCGAGGCAGTTTAATACTTCTTTCTTTCAGAGACACTCAGGTGATTGTAACCCACATGCCATGACCTTTACTGAACATCTTCTGCAACTGGCGTCAAAAGTAAAACTTCACACGCTAGCACGCTTCGGCAGCCCAGCACATCGGCTTTAAATGCCGGGCGAATATAATGCATGCACGAGGTAAAGAAAGAGTTGAGGATGGTGAACCAAGCTCCCTGAGCCACCTTAAGGTACTCCGTGAGGATTGCAGCTGCGGATACCTCACCTCCACTTACCTCACCTCCACTGACCTTACCTTACCTTAAAGTTGAGTGGGGTTTTGCGGATAAGATAACACTCGGCCAGAAGCTAAGGTAGTAATACGTACCTACCACCACTACCTCAAGGCTCAACCCAAGACAGGTGAAGTATCGTACTCCCTTGGTTGACTTTGTTTGTCACACGCAACGCAAAGAATTCTCACTCGACTGACAAACGAATCCCTGAAACATCCGACGACACATTTGGCGTCTTTGATCTCGTGGTAGGCGCGAGTAAACCTGTATGCCAATATTAACTAATGCCTCTGACGTTGCTATAGTTAGCAACCACCACCACTGTTCGCGGGCCAAGGATAGGCGGCACAAGGTACCTGACGAACACGGGATACCAAGGTCCACAGTGCTGCACTCAACTGCACCTACGTACAGCTTCCCCAGACTCGACTACGCCCGCCTGCGGCCTGAGGCACGACACGACGTCTTGGCAGCCCGCCGGTAGCTCACTTCCTCAAACCCTCCCACGACGCTCTCTCTACACTCCTTATTGGACTCGGATCGCCTTCCAGTCCAACCGCCTTTCATTCTCATCTCGCTGCCCCAAATGCATCGCGCAGCAGTGAGGGCCTTACGGACAACTTACCGATGTACGGCTCGTAGTTTCGCACGCAACAGCCGACGAGGTCTCTTGGACCATAACCTCTCCTCGTCCTACGCTACCCGCCACGGCCTGCGATCCTCCTCCTCGTACCAACACCACCCCGAGCATGCCGTCCAGCCGCTAAAGTCCTCCATGTACATCCGCCGCTTCTCCGTCGCCCTTGTGTCCACCCTCGTCGGCTACGGCGCCTGGTACTCCTACAACGGAACCGGTCTCGATAAGGCATCGAGCTTGACGAGGAGCTTCACCACCGCATCCAATGCCGGCGGCGATGCTGCCCCGACCCGTTCTGTTCTCGTCGTAGGCGCTGATCAGCTGCATACCGGTACATTTGTTGGAGAGGGGCCTATATCTAAGACGACTAGCGACGACGGCCGTAAGGTTATCGAGATGCTGACCCCGGAACAAGCTACCGAGAAGCTGCGCAAGACGGAGCAGTCCTTCCTTGTCAACAGAGGACAGGGCGTACTGCGTTACGACCTTGTCCAGCTTCCTAGCAACGACCCTATTGAAGACGACCATGCCGAGAAGATAGTTGAGGTGCCGAACCAGGCCGCGGGTGCTGCCGGCAAGAGCAACGACTGGATGTTCTGGGGCGTATTTGACGGCCATGCGTAAGTAAAGCTACGGTAGCGTTATTTTTGATGAATGCTAACCAACTGAACAGTGGCTGGACAACCTCGGCAAAGCTGCGCCAGACTTTGATTGCCTCCGTTGCCAACGAGCTCAACCAGACCTACCAGTCATCCGCTGACCTGTCCCCTGCGGCTGATGCTATCGATACCGCCATCAAGCTTGGTTTCACTCGTCTGGATGACGAGATTGTCAACCAGAGCGTCGAGAGAGTCCTCAAAGCCGGCTCGAAGACTATGGCTGCAGAGCTGCTGGCACCCGCCCTGTCTGGTTCCTGCGCCCTGTTGTCTTTCTACGACAGCAGATCCAAGCTTTTGCGAGTTGCCTGCACAGGCGACTCACGAGCAGTTCTCGGTCGTCGATCTGCGTCTGGCAAGTGGACAGCTACCGCTCTCTCGGTCGACCAAACAGGAGGCAACCCCGATGAGGCAGCTCGCTTGCGCAAGCTCCACCCTGGCGAGGACCGAGTCGTTCATAACGGCCGAGTCCTTGGCGGTTTGGAACCGACCCGCGCATTCGGCGATGCTAGCTACAAGTGGAGCCGCGAGATCACCAACAGACTTCGTGAATCCTTCTTTGCCCGATCCGCTTCCCCTCTCCTCAAGACGCCCCCGTACGTCACTGCCGAGCCTGTCGTCACAACCACAAAGATTGAGCCTGAGAATGGCGACTTTGTCGTTATGGCTACCGACGGCTTGTGGGAGATGCTTACCAACGAGGAGGTCGTTGGTCTTGTCGGCAAGTGGATCGAGACTCAGGCCAGCGGTTCTGGCTCGCAGTTCGATTCTACCTGGTCCAAGCTCTTCGGATCCAAGAAGTCTAGTCTCCCCGTCGAGCAAGCGAGCGACAAGAGCGTCGATGGCCAGAAGACGCCTATCCGCCTACAGCAGTGGGGAATTTCTCCCGACGCCCCCGAACGGTTCGTCGTCAAGGACAAGAACGTGGCCACGCACTTGGTCCGTAACGCCCTTGGTGGCAAGAATGAAGAGCAGGTCTCCGCTCTGCTGACTCTGCCCTCCCCCTTCTCGAGACGCTACAGGTGAGTCAGGCTGCGAGTTCGAGGTAGAGCACATGAATCAGAAAGACTGACCAATCCGAAACAGGGACGACTTGACGGTGCAAGTCATTTTCTTCGGAAACGGTGAGAAGACGGGCTCGGTCAACCTCAACGAGGAGGCAACGGCCCCATCGAAGCAGCAAGCCGTCAAGGCGAAGCTTTAGAGTGCGTCTTTGTTGAACGTGTCTCCGCAACGACCATATTACGGGACATCAACATGAGCGCACGTGTTTGTATCTTGTCTGTATGAATTAGCTTTTCCAAAACCTCGCTGGCAGCGTAAGAGAAGAAGAAGAATCGTGGAGGTTGGGTGGGTACGACGAGACATTGCCGCCCATTCGGCGCAAGAAGAGGTGCTGTTCCTGGGAAGCGAAAGACAGTTCACACGATGTCGTCCCGATCGAGGCATCTATCTGTTCAGAGAAATCAATGTTTGTTTAGCGATAGAGTCAAGTCTAGTGTTTTCCAATGAGATTTGCTTGGCCACGTTTCTGAGACCTGCCCCTTGTTCAACAACTGATTGTGAAGTCGAGCCCGATTATATAACCTCGCCAGAACGAGTTTCCGATGAGATTGAATGCCTAGCCAATCCCCCATTCGTCTGCCTTACGGATGTCACGTTCACGGCACGCAAAGTTGTATGATTTCTCGAGCTTTTTTACGTTTCATTCGTGGTTAATGATGGCAAGGGTTTACAGAAAACCAAGAAAAAGAAAATGTCCCTCCCCGTGGAAGTTTTCTCTTTTCTTTCCTTTTCTTTTTCACTCAACAACCCACCTCGCTTCCGCTTTCTCAATCCTCACTCGCTTGTCTTGCCTTTCTCTTTCTCTCGCTTCTGTTCTCTCGTCTCTTTGAAAAGAAAAGAAAAACCCAGTTTCCCAAACTCGATAAACGCCAAATGGAGGACTTTTCCTCCAAAACGGGGGAAATGGATGATGAATAACAGGAAACTCCTAATGATGAAGGCACAGAGACCCTATGCTGCAGGCTGAAATATTTTCGTGAGAAATCCGTGGAAAGTCCTCGAGAAGGGGGAAACCGTAAGGGCCTTTGTAGCATGGTTTCGTGGTTTCCCAGCCCTGTTTGTTGATTCCTCGACTCAAAAGGCTGTGGTCGTTTTTCTCTTTCCTCCGCTCGCCTCTCGTGAGTTCTCATCTCTCTTCAATCTCGTCGCTTGTAAATGATAGTCCGTGGCTATAGGTCCCCTCGATCGAAAAGCACCTAGCTCTTACACTCTCTCGGGGTTTATCCGATCTCTTGCTCGATCCCACCCATGAGCGTGACTAATTCAATTAGCCTCGCTCCTGTAAACGAAGCCCTCCAGCCACTGTCACTGCCCTGGATGCAGTGACAAAGCGGACTACGAGTGATTTTGTCCGCTCTGTTGCGAGTGATGGTCGTCGTCTCCGTCATGGTGCAGCGTGACACTGTTGAACTCTTCGAAAGGATCGACGACTTCACCACCGGGGGTCGTCATGCCACTATCCAGAGGAACTCCCTTGAGGTTTGCTTGTAGCGGGTTGGATCCGCTCAAGTCAATGCTCTCACTTTCCTTGACATTGCGGAAGTTGACAGTATCGATGCCGCGTCCAGTAACAGGCACAATGGGAGGCTTCATGTGTCGAATCAACGCCCACTGAGTCGTTTTGAAGAACGGATGAGCCTTGATATCCGAAGCACCGGCCTTGGCACCTAATCTCCGGTTTTCGTCTTTGATCAAAAGTTTACGAATCAGGGATTTGCAAAGGCTACACTCTTGTCAGTTCCACTTGTATTTTCATTGCGTCATTGCGAGCTTACTTGGATAATTGAGGTGCCCCAGCGTGGTCGGGGAAGGGAATATCTTCCCTCAAGATATTGGCAAAAGTCGCATTTCGGTTCTTACCCTTGAAGGGGGTGGTTCCGTAAAGCATCTCGTAAATCAAGATGCCGAGGGTCCACCAGTCCACGGCACTAGTGTGGCCGCTACCCTTAATGACCTCTGGTGCAATGTACTCCTCTGTTCCGACGAACGAGTTGGTGCGGAAATTGGCAATGCAGGACCGAGTGTCGATGTGCAAGGAGGTGGTGCTGGTACCTGTCTTGCCAATGACCATTGTGGGCTTTCCACCGAGATCGGACTGCTTCGACAAGTCAAAGTCCGAAAGCATGATGTGGCCCGACTGGTGGAGTAAGATGTCTGCGTAGTATGTCAGCAACCGATTGGTAAGCGCGAAAGGGCTCTCGTCGAACTCACTCTCTGGCTTCAAGTCGCGATAAATGAAGCCCATCAAATGCAGATACTCCAAGGCCGCGGTGACCTCGGCGGCGTAGAATCGCGCATCGTCTTCAGGAATACACTTGCCGGGGCGCGTCTGTAGGGCCCTGAAGAACTCTCCACCACTGCAATATTCCATGCACAGATACAGATAATCCTCCGATTGGAATGAATGGTACAGCGTAACAATGAAGGGGTGGTTACTCGTAGCTAGAATTTCTTGCTCGGCAAGGGCGCGTTTAATCTTGTTCCGCTTGATCATCTCCTTCTTGCTCAATACTACAGCGAGTCAGCAACATGTCAGGGTTTGGCTACCTGATATCTTGGATTGAACATTACCTTTCATGGCATAGAGACGACTGCTCTTCTTCTCGCGGACAAGGTAGACCTTGCCGACGTCTCCCTTGCCAATCAACTTGATCTTGTCGAAACTTTGCGGGCCGACCTCAACATCGCGGACCTTGATGGAATTGGAGCTGTAGGTCCTCCGGAATGCGAGACTCGTACGATTCGGGGGTGGGAGGTTGCCGAGGACGTCCTTGTCGGGGACGCCCAGGCTAGGAGCGGACGCCTTGGACGGGTCAACCATCTCGAGGGTGCCCGAGTCCTTGTCGAGAACCAACGGGTCCTTGCTCAGCTCGGCGGTGGCGGGACGCTCAGCGCTGCCCTTGCCTTTGGAGAACAAGCCCTGGGCATTGGGGGCACTGGCGACTCTCCTAAGTTTCCTTGCCAATTCCTCACGTCCGGCGCTCGTCGTCTGCTGTTCGGGGCCGCCGTCAGGACCTTGGATCTTGAAATTTGGGGTATCGGGAGGGCTAGGAGGTACTGATTCGTGGTTATGATGGCGAAGGCCCGGCTGGCCCTGGTGTGCAAAGTAGGGATTCGCGTGCGCGGTCGGGCTGAGGGCCTCGTCGAGGGGGTTGCCTTCGCTGGCGGTGGTGTTTGTCCTCAATCGGCCGACGGTGCCCTTGAAAAAGCTGCTACCAAACTTGCTCCGGATTTCTGGGCGGGCGGCGGCGGCGTCTTGTGAGGAGTGGACGTGAGCAGCGGAGGACTTTTCTCTGTCACGGTCGGCGCCGCTGTTGAGGTTGATGCGGAAGAGGTTCTTCAGCTTCTGGTTGAACTGGGCAGCGCCATTCTGGTGGGTTCGGCTGGCAGGCATATCGGAATTTCGGGGGTGCGCAATCAAGCGACCGATGCCATGGCTGACGGGACAGTTACGGGAGAGAAGCGAAGAGGACCGACGATGTTCGGAAGTGCGGAGAGGAGATGGAGCGGAAGAAGAGCGGCGACAATAGTATGCAGGTAGGTAGGGAGGTAGGTCGGAGGTGAGTAGGTAGGTTAAGGTGAGGGTGAGGGTGAGGTAGGTGGGAGGAACGTGGGACTGGATGCGGAGTGTAAGTAGCGTCGAAAAGGTAAGGTAGGGTCGGGTGGTGGTGGAGGACGACGAGGAGGAGGTGCAGCAAGCAAGGCCGGGAGAGAAAGATAGGTGTTGGCTGGCTGGTAGGTAGGTAGGTGACAGAACGGGATGGTTGGCGGTAGGTGGTGGTGGTAGGCAAGGACGGATAGAATAGGCGGTAGGCGAGCGGTGGACGGGGAGGAGAGAGTCGAAAGCGAGTTAGTAATATGAGGTGGGCTTAGGCGTCTTTCCGGACGGGCTTCACGCTTCGGCTTCCACACCTCAACTTCCCATGGGCCATGGACCATCCATCAACCCCCCCGCTCGTTGGTCGATGACCGTGGCCGTGGTCCAGGTCGAGGTCCTGGTCTTGGCTCGTCACCCGAGAACTACGAAGTACACTACCTTAGGTACGGCTATCTGTTCATTCCTCTCACAGTTCACAGCACTCTCGATCCCCATTTGGGGAGCTCACTGGGGTCTCGCTCTTTCTGTCGCCGCCGCCGCCGCCCACCTGGGCTCTAGTCACACACTCTCTCCTCTTTACGGCGGATAAAGATGGACGAGACCTGTGCCCACTGTCCAGTGGCTCTCGGGCAGTGCACCGCGAGGCACAGGGGATCCCTAGCCCCAGTAGCAGCCCACGCGAAAGAGCGGCAGCACAGCAGGAAACGCGCGCCTTCGGGGGGTAAAGAGGCAGTCTACCAGGTGACTTTTCATCGCCTTGCCTTACCTACTGTGTGGCATGGCCAGGGGGGGAGAGGATCCAATGATACAAGACATCCACCAACGGATCAGAATGGGACGGCTTTTTGGCAGGGATGTTCCGCTTCAGGCGGGCCCGGCTTGGGCCTAGGTTCCTCTAGGTTCCAGCGTTGGTCAAGACCTCTCTCAATGCTGGTCTAGAGTTCCCTCTGTGCCTCTCTGTTCTTTCTGTTCAGTCCAGGCTTGCGTGCTTGTCAGGTCCAGGTCCGAGCAGGCTGGCAGGCTGCTTGCAAAATGGGAATTGGGATGGCTTTGCTGACAAAAGGGCATTTGATCCGGCGATTGGTGCTCTTTTCCCCGACGATTTTCCACGCCTCGCAAATTCCCCCATTCACCACCTAACGTTATCCCATTGGATCATTGGCTTTGCAAGTCACTCGAGGTACCTATCTCGATTCTTCTATGCATAAGGTAGGCGTCCTGTCCCGTCTGTCCACACCACCTTCAAAACCAGAGAGCGTACCGGTATATCACTCGTCAACTCTATCTCAAGTGCCCTCTTCCCAACCGTTGATGCATTTACCTTCTGTTCCTGTTTCTTTTCTCCCTTTTGGCTTCGAAGCATTCTGGTTCTTACTCATGCGTTCTCATCCCTCCGGCCAGTGTCGACGATGATGGCAGGATAAACAAAACGCACAACATGGGCTTTGTTACTGACTACTGAGCGCAAGCCCATGCACTGTCAAGAGCCAAGATAACACCGGCGCCAGCTCGAGATACGAAAGCCTCACCAGCAATTACATGCCAGAGCCCCAGCACTCATAACAATGTTTCCCACGACAACAGCCGTCAATCTTTTACCCCAGTCTCTGATTCACACACACACACACACTCTCTCTCTCTCTTTTCTAGTTCCTGCGTCCTCACGAGGAAGTTCCCCGCCGTTGACATGTTTTATCTTTTTTTCCCCCTTCGAGGGCTCGTGCAAAACACCCAGCATCAGACGAATATGCAGAAATGGGCACAGATGTCGGGGCAAATAAAAGCCTCATTGCGTTTGACCTCGCAGGCCATTCCACGTCTACCGCTCAACTCTTGGACAGACGAGAGACGAAAAGGGAAAAAAAAACCTTACACGAGCTTGTTCCTGAAATGTCTAATAAGACACTGTCACACACTATCAACACTCTTTTTTTGCAAGACACGCTCCCATCAACCACACCCGTCGTGCAATCCCGCGCTAGCACTCCAGCCCCTCGTAACTTAGTACCAGGTGGTGTTAGGTTACAACAGAGTACTTATGCCCCCTCCCCCCCCCCTCAATCGGTCCATTTTCAGCCCTCCAAACCACCACGACACAGCGCGGGTCAATGGCCGGCGATCCAGTCGTCTGGGGCACTAGATAGGTTTCCCGCCTGCTTGTTAATCAACCTTGGGCTCTACAGCCTCCAAGAGAGAACTCGACCGGGTAGAGAAAAGTCGCGAGCATACACGGCGGCGGCGCCATCCCCCATCGCCACCTTCCGTACCTAGCTGGTGTGGCTGGCTTGTCACGTTCGTGTCCAACGCTTTTTGACGAATCATTTTACAGTCTTCACCCAGTCTCTCACTTTTTCCTCTGCATTGGCACTTGAGTCCGTCGGCCGCCCGTCGATGTACTAGGCGTGTAATGCTGCATGGGAAGTATTCTAGAACCGATCTTCAGGTTCTTTTTTTGGGTGTAGGTGGTCCCCTCTCGGCTCTACCTAGGGATATCGTGCTATCCTATCTTGTTTGTTCCAATTGTTCGTTTCGCCCACCCGAAACCTCTGCAAAGAAGAAACTCGACTCAACTGATATCCGGTAGGCCGGCCTACTTCCCGCAGCCCTGCTGAATCGAATGCCCTGAATGCGCGAGAGAGGAGGGCTGGGACATGTTTCTTCCTGAACAGCGGCCCTCCCTGGATGCCGAGGTGTCACTCCACCTTCGCCTCCTCATGCAACGTTGAGCAATCTCCCCCACAAAACACCGCACATCCCCGCCGATGATGTAAGATGGAATGCGACCAGACTTCGTCCCTGGCGCCCTTTTTTTTCTGCTTCCCTTCCCTTCCTGCATCAGCCTGAAGTGTCTAATTTAGCAAGAGCCGCAATGCCAAGTCGTCCCTTTCGAATGAATAATCATGCTCAGACACGCGACGACGACGACGACGACGACTCTCCCGGCCCATCCGCTGCCCGTCAAGTGAGCCCTCGACAAATCATCCATGCTCGTCTGGGGAAGCGGCAGACCGCTCAACGGCCTTTCCAGTTGGCCGAACGAGTCCGTTGCACGACTTTCCAGGGGCCTTCTAAGCAGCGGATACCCCCGTTATCCTGAAGTCTCCGTCATCCCTAGGGAGGCGCAGTCGGTCAACCCTCATCCGAAACCATGCCATGAAGCTTGGTCCTCACAAGCATTGTCAGCGTGCTCGCCTCGCCGTCCAGTATCGTCTCGATGGTGTTGTCGTCGCCTCCAATAGCCGCCAGGACTCAGCCCGTGATTCACGTCAACTGTTTGCTTGCGCCACAACCATCAGCCACCTCATGCTCCTTCGGCCACCTCCTCCATTGCGTCGTCGTCTTCCTCCTCGCTTGGCAGATTCTGGTCTCTGAGAAGCAAAAGATCCTTGAGTTTCCGCCTATTGTTGCGCCACGTGTGCAAGTCCTCCTCCTTCTGATCCTTGATTGACGGTGTGATTTGGTTGCCAGCCTTGTCAAAAAGGTAGTCAGGAAGCTTGGCCCCATCATCGGGATCGTATCGTTTGAACGACACTTGCGGCCCGTCCCCTACCTGCCAGGCGACTGGAAGCATGTGTAGATCCTCCACATGAGATTTGAGGTCCGCCAGTGTGGGGAACTCGTGAGACGGCTGCTTTTGGGCGCATTTGGCCCATCGACATCCAGCTGCTACCGTTTTGGTATGAACAATCGACACATGCTTTTGCAGAGTCGCAAAATTGTGAAGCTCGGCCTTGCAACCCTCCCACTCGCAGATGTACGTGTTGAAGTGTGGGTTTAGACTCTTGTAGATCTCTCGCGGCTTGGGTGAAGCTGCTTTTGGCGGTCGACCTCGCCGCTTCCCCGCGTACAGTGCGCCTGTCTTGGGCCTATCCGGTCGCAGTTTTCTTGGTCCTGCCTCACCGGCCTCCTGTGAGGCTTTCTTGCCCGTCAGATTCGGTCGAAAACCCTTTGGCCGGCCGCGCTTGCGAGGCTGTGGTGGAGGAGTGGCCGCCCCTGGTGAAGTCACCTCTAGCTCTGGCTCATCTGCGACGGCTTCTGGTAAGGCTGGCTTGGCGAGGCTCACGCCTACTTTTGCCTGAGCTGCTAGTCTTCTGAATTGGGGTGATAGGTCCGATATCACCAGGTCGTCTGCGTCGTCCTCGACTGTCCTCATGGGTGTGGTTCCTGTACGTTTTCTAGGACTCGATGGAAGAACCACGGCGAACGAGGACGGCCGTGGCGCTGGCTGAGCTGTTGATGTCCTCGGCTTTGTCTGAGCGGCTGAAGTAGAAGATGTCGGAGGTATGCTGCTGCCCGGTCGGCCGAAAAACTTATCCAAGGTGCGCTGTCGTGGGATAGACGGATTGCTTGGGCCCTGTGAGGTGGACTCATCCTTGGTGCCTGAGTTTGTGGAAAATAGTGGTGGCATGGTGAATTCGCTCAGAATCGACGAGTCCTAGCTGAACAGTTCTCTTTGAGCATGCTGGAGAGTGAGATTTAATCGGTCTTGGCTCCCAAAATGCGTAGTCGTGATAAGTTGTGATGACTTGTCGTAAGGTTTGCTTTGGAGGTGATCTATGCAAAACCAATCTAGTATCGTATTGTTGATTATGAGCAATTCGACGCACTTGAGAGATCGACCGGGGATGTTGTAAAGGTCGATCTGTAAAGTCGAAAAGATGAGCTAGCGACGCGTTGATAGGTTGCAGGCGCGACTGCAGTCGAGTGCAGTCGAGGGAACTTGGGGAAGGAACTGGCAATAAGCGGGGACTTCCCGTTTAGGGCGGTTCGCACCGCGGGCAAGGGTGATTGCCGCACTTACCTCAAGGCGTAGGTCCTCGATGTCATTCGTTGTCACTCATTCTCTCTATCTCACTTTGAGATTGTCACCCGTTTAAAAAGTTGAGCACCTTTTATCGCAAGTTGTAGTTGTACTGATGGCTATTCATGATAGAGACGTCGTAAACTAGCCATGATGCTGACGGAGCCATATCTCCCACCGGCCCTGTACAATTGATACTCGACGTATCTGAGTACATTGGAGGAGACGGAGTCAACTGCGTGTCAGGAATGAATGAGATAAAGTCAATAGCGACACAAGGCCGCGGATGCGCAGGCTGACCTTTCAATTGCACGACACATAGCTCGCCAGCATTTGATTAATGATCTTTTTTCGCCATTTCTAAGGCGCTTTGCTAATCGATTCCTGGATGTTCGTTCCCTCGCACCTCGCACCGGGTCGGAGGCCGTAATTGGAGCTTGCCGGAGAGGGGACATTAATAATCGGGCATCCCGTTCGGCCCTCCGCAAATGCCGTCATGGATCCGAGCAATGGTCTAATCTCACAATGCCGGGCCGACCACATGCAAGCCTCAATAAGACATAAAGCCACTGAACCCCTCATCTGCTCATCGCATATTTATCTCACTTCGCATCGTCACAGTTCACTCCATAATTCCTAATTGATAAACATCTAGAAACCAACACTCTAGAGTAAAACATACAAACGTCTGGTTAAACATGGCCTCCAAGTCATTCTACGCGATCATCTCCGGAGCGGGTTCCGGCACTGGTCAGAACTCACTCCTATCATAGCGTAGCCTTTACACAGTCGATGACTAACACAACCGCAGGCCGCGCAGCAGCCGTCCGTTTCGCAAAGGCGTACCCAGTCGTGCTTCTCGCCCGCAAGCCAGAGAGCTACAACGCCATCGTGGACGAGATCAAGCAGGCTGGCGGCCAAGCCTTCGGCATCACGGCCGATGCAACAGACGAGGCCGCGGTCAACGCCGCTTTTGAGACGATCAAGAAGGAGCTCCCCGGAAGCAAGCTCGCCGCCGCCATCTACAATGTCAACGCCGGCTTTTCCCGCAAGCCGTTCCTCGAGCTTAAGCGGGAGGAGCTTGATGTCAGTCTTGACGCCGCGCCGTACGTGAGACATCATTTGCTGGATCTTCTGCAAGAGGCGACTAACACGCACGGTATACAGTAAGGGGTTCTTCACATTCGCGCAAAAGACGCTTCCCCTGTTGCTCGAGTCGGTGTCCGACTCCCCACACCCGCCGTCTTTGATCATCACTGGAGCCACAGCATCCATCAAAGGTTTGTCGTCAGAGTGGGGATGAGCTGAAAGATGACTGACCTTCTTCCGCAGGCAGCGCGTTGTTTGGAGGTTTTGCGGCAGGCAAGTTCGCCCTCCGCGCCCTAGGCCAATCTCTAGCACGCGAGTTCGGTCCGAAGGGGGTCCATGTGGCACACGCCATCATCGATGGAGGCATCGATACCCCGTGGGGTAAGGCCTATGCTGCCAACGATGGCGCAGAAGACGGCAAGATTTCACCGGACGCTGTAAGTGATTATCAAAACCCTGAAGCAGACATATTGCTAACAACATCAAGATTGCTGATGCCTACTGGTACTTGCACACGCAACACCGCTCCGCGTTCAGTCAGGAAATTGACATCAGACCGTACGTGGAAAAGTTCTGAGCAAGCAAGCGGCACTGGAGACTTTGAGATAGATCCACGTCATGATTGAATGTAACCACCAGTAATCTCTAGCCTCTCTCTACGTAGCCAAAGATCCTCAATATATCCCCATTGGTAGTCTCACGAGTACTCAACTTAGGAAGTTGATGTGCACATTACGTACGTAGTCATACTTCATTGATTTGAGGTGTGAGAGTAGACGGATCTGCCACCGTGGTTTGGCGTAGCATGGGCACGGCCGCCGGATGAACCTGGTCTTCCAGGTGCTCGGAATCGGCCTGTTTCGTGGTGATGCTCGCAGCCTCGGGCGCATACAAGAAGGTTTCTCCTCTGTTAGGAAGCTCAAGATCCGGACGCCTCGGCAGCTACCGGTTCTGGTACCACTGGTGGAACAGGGCCACCGTTGATGGCAGCCAAACGTTCCTCTTCCCTCTTCTCGCGAAGAGCAGCGGTCTCGGCACGCAGCTTCTCCAAGTTCCACATTCCATCGTCTTCTTCATCATCGTCGTCCTCCTCCTCATCGTCCTCGGTCGTGCGCCAGTTGCCACTTTCGAACAGGGCACGACCAGTTGCTTCCTTGGCCTTCTTGGCCTGCTCCTCAGCCGCCTTCTTGTCCAGACGCTCCTTCTTCCATTTGGCGAATGACTCCGGCGTGACCGGTGTAAGAGTGCCGGTAAGTTTGTGTCGCTCTGACTCGAGGAAGTCTTCCAAGGTAAGGGTCTTAAGAGGTGACTTGTCCATGAGGGCCTTTTCAGCTGCTCTCTGCTCCTTGGTCTTCAAAATGAATCTGTGACAATGTTAGCATGAAAACTGACCGCTGAACTGATGTCACTTACCCTGGTGGAAGAGCATGCTTGTATTTGCACTTGTCGCCGCCATTTGGACAGATCCAAAACCATCCGTATTTGCCGTCCTCGATAGCCTCGACGAAGAACTTGCAGACCTTGTCGGTTGTGGTCTGCTGGTTGCCCTTCTTGGAAAGAACAACAGAGCGAAGCTTCTCCTCGTCCCAGTCGGCAGAAGTCTCGGCCTTCTTCTTCTCCTCCTCTTCCTTGCGAGTATCCGTGTACAGGTTCTTCTTTGACGTTTTGCGTTCGTCTTCGAGGTTGTGAGAGAACTTGCACTTCTTGCCTTTCTCACAGTTGCCCTTCTTGTAAAAGTTGCAGACAACTGTCTTGGGGTCGACACCGAACGGGACTTTTTGGATCTGTGCGGGCTTGTTCAGAAGCATATCGGTCTCCCTCTTGGCTTCCTCTGCCGCCTTCTTCTCACGCTCTCTCGCCTCCTTCTCTGCCTGCTTGCGCTTCTCTTCGGCACTGCCACCATTCCTCATCGAAGACGCCATTTGGGCAATCTGCTTCTGGGCCGCGCCACCCTTCTTATTTTTCATGCCGAAGGTCTTGTCCTCGACCTTGACGGCCTTCTTGGCCGGCTTGTCCACTTTCTTGGGAGGCATCTTGGCGGGGTATTCGGTTTCTGGAGACGAGAAAAGGTTGGTGGGCAGAAGCAAAAGTCTTCTGCTACGACTGAGCAACCGCTTCTGGCGGGATTACTTAGGCTCGTGTTGTTGTGGGATGTCGACAGACAAGTCGATAGGGTCCGCTCAGATCGACGTAACGCAAAAAGTCATCACTGCAAATCCAAGAAGAGTGGGAGCGCCGTGGATGAAGTCAGAAGTTCAAGGCACGGTGGGCGGGTCACGTGAAGGGCTTACATTGGTGGGGGCGGAGCGTCACAGCAGATTTGACCAGGGGGGTGCGGTACTGAAGTGGAGGACCGACTCAAGCACCAAGTCACTCTTAGCGTGGCCGGTCTAAACGTGGACAGCAGCTCCAGTGGTCTAGTTGTCCGTTTGGTCACCCATTGCCATCCCCATCTCAAGCTCCATGTGCGCCGCGCCAGCAAGTCCAAACAGCTCACCTTGACGAACAACTTCAAACCCTTCCATCGATTCTTGGAAGTAAGACACTCACTGTATGTTCAAGTCATTTTTTTCTTCTATTGCAGTCTTGATACGGAAAACTGACGCCTAGACGTAGAAGTCCTCCCGAAGATCCTCCTTGCACATCACCCAAAAGCATCGCCGCGCAAACGATCCCGAGCCCATCATGATTTCCGACAACGATCTCTACCGCCTTGCGATCTTCCTTGGCTCCGCTGCCATGGTTCTCATTATCTTCTACCACTATGTAGAAGTCAACACTGAAGAGGAAAAGCCCGAGAAGGCTACACGACCCGCGAAGTCCGTCAAAGCAGTGTCCTAGAAGGCCACAAAACGGCGCAAGTGAAATAGTCAGGTGCCATGGGATATTCGCTGTAAGATATATATGGCGAGAGGGATTTGAGAGTTCTGCGACTGCCCTGAGACGAACGAGACGCGAGGCATGGGGCGACATAGCGATGAGAGAGGGCATTTGATGTCAGTGTCTGAGGGGACAGGTGATATCCATACGATCTTTCAGGGGGTTGACAACGAAACGCTCCCCCCTTGAGAGAACACAGAGCTTCGCAAGTTAATGCAGTCAAAGAAGCAAACACCAGGGGCATCTACAAGCTCTTGCCCTCCAAAATCGAAACATTAGAGCATCACCATTGAGACGATAGTCTAATCTGGCTCAGCGCTGAATTCACGTGATGAACATCGACTTTTTAGAAGGCACAACCTCCATTTTACGGTCTTTCAATGCCACTGACAGAAATGCCATTGACAGACATCGAAATCCACGATCTTGAGCTCCCCTACCTTTGTCCTCTCTGAGTAAATGTTGTGTATGCCTCATGACAGTTGGCCATGCCACAGCCTACTCAAAATATTGGCGGTGGCGCTGATCAAATCTTGAGAATCAATCGTACTTTCCAGTGACACCAGGGCCTGTTGGTTGATGGACCGCCTGCCTCAATTGCCCCAATTCTTGCTTCGGCAAGTTATAACTTTTGATAAGGCGCATTCAACTCAGCGCCAAAGAGATGGAAAGGAGACCTGACCAGCTGCTTCCCGAAATGGAACAGTTGGAAGGCGTAAACAGGGGATGTGTGGCTGAGGAGGCAGCAGCTCTGGCGGATCCTTCTCGGCCCAAAGAGGACTAGTGCGACCAATCAAAACTTCCCGCTGTCAACGGGGTCCTCAGGCCCCCCTTGTTTTGGTCAGGCGCGCCGCAGCCTGCCGCTCCGCTGGCACCAACACCTTGCCCCGTCTCCTTTCCCATTTCCTTCACCCGCCCATTCCATTCATCTCGCAACCCTTCTCCTTCCCAAAGACAAACCTCCCCGTCCAACATCAAAAAGACCCCTCGACCTACAGACCAAAGTTTTTCTTCTTCAGCTGCATCATCAAATTCTTGCGCAGCTCCTGTATTCTCTACCTCTTTCTTCAGGCCGACCACTCCTCGCGCGCAAGCTTCTACGCGTCAGAGTTTGATTCTTCATCACATCAGCACTTCGTTTCGCATCACGCTCTTCACGACCTAATAATACTTGAAGAGACCCTTCGACCAGCTGCTTTCTCATCGCAGCATTATCGCAAGCAAATTTTTCTATCAAACAAATCCAACACCACCACAATCATCATGTCTGGAAAGCTTGACCAGTCTCTCGATGAGATTCTCTCGACCCAACGCCGCTCTGCCGGCGGACCCGGCCGTCGCTCTCAGCGTCGATCCACTGGTGGTCGCCCTGCGGCCGCTGCCCCTGTCGGCGGTGTTCAGAAGACATCGCGACCTGCGCGCGGCGCCGCCGCCAACAAGCCTAATGCCGCCAAGCCCGCGCAAGGCTCTGGTGACAGCAAGGTCATCGTGAGCAACCTGGTAAGTTACTTCCCTCACTCCGTCAATTCTGCGGCAAGCTAACACATACAAAGCCCAAGGATGTCAACGAGCAACAGATCAAGGTATGTTGCCGATAAGGCTCTTCAGCCCTCGGACTTGGTTCGACATGTTATTTCTCGCCTGCTCTCCTTCCCAGCCGGCGTCGTAGCGATATCAAATCCACTGTGGCCATTGCCGCTTCCCAAACGGAATCCGTCAAGACACCGCCAAGCCTCCTTCCTCGATATCTGCGATCCTGAGATACGGCGCAGAGCTCAACAGAAGTTGAGCACGTCCCTGTCGCGCGAACACAGTCCAAACTTGAGGTAGCCTGGTCAGCGCCCAAGAAATTGGTACAGCCGACTGAAAATATGGGACGTTGGCTGTCTTCGACGGATATCCACAAGACCAGCTTGGTCTGGCACCGCTCATCAGCATGATGATGCAATATGAAGCCCTTTCCAGCGAGCAAAGCAGTGAGCAACGTCGCAGCACAGGCCAGGACGGCTTCGATACATAGCTTCGCTGCTATCGATTCGCGAACCTACAATGACGGATGGCCTTTCAGTGGGGTTTCGGGGCAAAGTACATACACATGGCTATTTGGGTCTGAAACTGGTGTTACGGCCATGTGTTACGACGTTCCCCCACAGCAGCTGTTACGACTTGGGGTGATACCCTCCGACTTGATGGCAACTGAACATGAGGCAGCCATGGCTTCAACTGGGGCTTCTTTGGGGATGGACGCTGACGTGCGTACTAACGCTCACTGCTCTGCTCGCTGCCAACCTCCTGTGCTCCGGTCGACTGTTGGATTTCTGCCGATACCTTGCCCCTCGTGCGGCTCGGGTTCGGACGACGCTCGTGATTGAAATATCAACGCTTACGGATAACTAACATCGACTTTCCCTTCAGGAGTACTTTCTCACATCAGTTGGACCCATCAAGAGAGTTGACATCTCTTACGGACCTAACTCTGTTAGCCGTGGCATTGCCAACATCACATTCCGTGAGGCGGATGGCGCTAGCAAGGCCTTCCAGAAGCTGAACGGTCTTCTCGTCGACAACCGCCCGATCAAGGTAAGCTTCTCGAATCATGCCCTTTCATGTACACTCTAACGGGGACTAGATTGAGATCGTTGTTGGGGCTTCTCAGGCAGCCAACGTCATCCCTCCTGCCAAGAAGACTCTTGCTGAGCGCACCACGTAAGCAAAATCTCCATGAGATGCTAGAATTCGTATTAACAAGAAAACAGACAACCCAAGGCTCAGCCCAAGTCTGCTGCCAACAACAAGCGCAACAACAACAACAATAACAACGCGAACGCCGGTAAGGGTGGCCCTGCCGCTGCTGGCACTGGCGGCAAGAAGCCCCGTGCCAAGCGCACCGGCCGTCCTGCAAAGAAGACGGCCGAGGAGCTTGACTCCGAGATGGCCGATTACTTCGAGTCTGGTGCCAACCCCAATGAGAACGCCGCTGCCCCCGCTCCTGCTCCCGCAGCCACCAACGGCGACGCTGCTATGGAGGATGAGATCATGTAAATGGCACATAGCTACTACAGACTCAATCACATAACGCTGGGCACTGAGGAGGTCAAAGTGGCACATTGTGTGGGGGGCTCCCTTCAACTTTCCTTATGCGCGCGACTCCGATACTCTCAAACAGATTGCTGGAAGGAGAGAAGACACGGAGGTTACGGGATTATGGCTTTGGTTTCGACATGTTTTGGTTTCTTTCAAGCTCTCAGACTGCCTCCCTCGGCCTTCCGGCAAATATTCCCAAACATCACAAAAACACCAACCACGGCTTCATTGAGCCGGAACACCACATCACCCATCTGCTTCGCCCAAATTATAGCAGGGCATGTATTATAGCGATCCCCAAGTCGGACAGACTCTAATACACAAAGCGCCGAGCCCCCAACTTGAGATTCAATAACGCAACGTGAAGTTCTTCGTGATTAATTAGTGTCCGAGCTAATCGTTCAGTCATTTGGCGAGAAGAAGTGGGAAAGATGACAGCTTGCGGTCAGGCATGCAAAGACCCTTGAGGATGTAGAAAAAGGAACACGGCTGATTTCTCGAATCGATTCACCATCCCATGATTTCGGAGTAGGTCTCCCGGCTTCATAGGCGCAAAAAGTCGACCTTTAACATATCCTCGTACACCGAGCGCCTATAGACGGACAGAGACCATGAACCGCTTTTGCTGAGAAGTGACTTCCACGGTGGGGTTCGAAAGAATGCTCAGAGAATCATGATATCCATTCGCTAAATGCCTACCACACCTTGAGTTCTCATCGTAAATACGTAGAAACCAATCCCAAAGATCACGGGTCGTCTTTTCTTTTGGTCTTTTGATTCGAAAAAGTACATTCATAGTCGTTAGTCTAGAGCGGTATCCACGGGCGTTGCAGCCAAGAATGCTGGCCTAAAGTGCCGGGAAAGTCGTCTCGGGGTGCGTGATAAAGGAAGAGATTGCTTATTTCGCAGCAGACTTGTCAGCAGCAGGTGCGGCCTTGCCGTCGTCCTCCTCGCCCTCCAAGGCAGGCATGTCATCGTCATCCTCATCATCTTCCTCGTCCTCCATATCTCCCAAGCCTTCCATACCCGGTGCGCCGCCGCCGCCAAGCTTGGAGAAGTCGATGCCGCCGAAGTCGCCGCCGCCGGGGCCACCCATTCCAGGCATGCCACCTAGTGAACGAACGTGTTAGTCTTTGAAACTGGAAAGGCTCTATTGCGCCGTAATCCGTCATGGCGGGGTGTTGGGTTGCAAGGGAGTTTGTAAATCACGTACCCATACCGCCGAACTGAGAGAAGTCCTCCTCAGCAGCCTCGTCCTGCTCGTCCTCATCGACCCACTTGTCGAAGTCGGTCTTCAGGAAGTGGACCTTCTTGGCCTCCTTGAGCAAGCGAGGCCAGTACTCCTCCTTGAGTTCCTTCTTCTGGAGCTTGAACTCGACATTCTTGCCGGTGTGGTTGACCTTGCTCTCAGCGGGGTCGATCTCAGCGTACAGCTCGAGGTCAACGGCATACGAGCGCTTCAGAGAGTCGGAGGTACCGCTGAAGGACAGGCCGGTAGGCTTCAGGTCGACCTTGAGACTGGACTTGGGAACATCGGGAACGGTGATCGTCAAGTAGACGAAGTTCTTGGAGGCGTCTGAAGAGCTGGAGCGCTGAGCCCAAAGAACTGTGGGGGAAGAGACCGGGTTAGCTTCGGCGCATGTTCCGACATGGGGGTTAAGGGCGTGAATTCAGGAATGAAGATAGCATCAGTTGCCGATGAATGTAGAAGCCGGCGATTCAATTCCTAGAACGCGCCAAATGGGAAAATGAGCTTGTACGTACCCTCAGGAGTTTGTGTGGTGGCAGACATTTTGCTGGTGGGAATTTGTCGAGCAGGGAGCTATGACGGGGGATGAGGGGTAGGTTGATTCACGCGAGGCGCAAATGTGTCGCAAGAAGGCAATCGCGGTTGGCAAATTGACCTAGTAAGAAGGGGTATTATGTGTAGAAGTTGTGCAGATATCGACAACGACTGTTGGAGTTGGAGGAGTTGAAAGTGTGTGGAAGAGAGAAGCTGGAGGGGGTTGTGAGGCTACAGGTTTGAAAAGGCTGGACCCTTGGTTGGGGTGAGGCCGGGTGGGTTCCAGTTACCGCCTGGAGATCACGGGCAATTGTAGAAGGCGCTCGAATCCGAAAGATTTGGTAGTAACCCACACCAGGCAGGCGGCAGGATGCACAGAGCACCTACCTTACGGAGTACCTCGCAGCACTAACAGCTCCAGGCTGGCACTGGCACTGGGGGCCAACTGGTGCTGCCACCACCACTGGGCCGCTGCGGACCGGACCCTGGCAGGGCTGAACGCACTGTACACTTAGAAATCCCGTCTCCTTTTCCCCCCTCCAAGTTCCCCTCCTCCCTCCCGTCCTGTCCAGGGCTGTTTTATTTTATTTTTTTTCCTATTCTCTTTTTGGCGCTGCCAGGTACCTGGCCGAGCCTCTTTCCTGTCTTTCCAGTTACTACCAGGTACTTCTTACTATGTGGGACTGTTGCCCCAGATGCGAGTACCTGTTTCCCTGTCTTCCCCTCTTTGCTGACGTTGGCTTCGCGGCCGAAAGAGCTTTCCAGCCCCCTGCAACCCCACGAAATAGGCGTAAGAAGCATTCTGAGTGGATAGATGTCGCTTGCCTGCAGCTCTTGGTGAGGCGCATCATGGCAGGCGCATGCACACAACAAAATCGACCTGGAGCAGTCTGTTCCCTTGTGTCAACTAATGTAAGGCGATCTGGAATCTTTGATCTTCCGGCAAGACGAAAGTCTGTTCTTCGTTCTGTTTCCCAGGTCCTCAGCGTCGGAGCCGACACCCAACCGGGCCTGAGCATCCAACTGCTTGACATCCATCTATGTATAGGTGGTAGCCAGCCACGACAGCGTAACTTCGTCTTGTCTTCCGACGCGGGTCAACTAAGGCAGGCAGTGAGATCATCGTGGGCCCTTGCCGATTTCTTATCCACCAGGGGTCTCATTTGCTGCAATACGGGCCGCCCGGAACGTGCGATTCGCCTGCCTGTGTGATACTCACTGCCCGCACTCGGATTCCCAAACTGTCCGCTGGATGACACAGGGGCGAGCGTGTTCTTATTCGACTAAGATACCTCTCATCCTGCCAATGGGTACCGATTGAATGGCATTTAGATTTCAGGATGAACTTAGTGCTGCAGTCATTGACTCAAAATGTGTTTCTTGTTACTGCCAAGGTGCCAGTTCAGTCAACCGAAGCTTTCCAGGCCCCCCATCCAGCGTCAACCACCCACTCGCTTAATGCGGTATTCGTCAGATGCATTCCCTCCTTACTTGCACTCAGCTGATTAAGAACATATCAATCACACTTTCCCCACGTGACGACTATCCCCCACTACAAGCCGTATCAGTCGATGCGGCAAGCAGGAAATGACGACACATCGCTTCCCAACCCAAGGCAGCACTGATTGAACCTGGCAAACGACGAGGCTGGCGACAGCCTAACACAACGCGCTACGAAGAACCATCCACTACATACCATAAAGACGCCTCGGTAGCCAAGGGTCTTTGTATTGACGGTTTCCTTCAGCACTTTTGCTTGTCGATCCGCACAACATGGAGACGCTGAGAGCCATATTCGTCAAGCCTGATCCGCAGCAACAGGTAGATTACGCCCGTCATGGCAGCAGTACGTGGGGAAACTTCTAATGAGTTTGTATATGGACAGCTGCGGAAATGTAACGCTCTCATTCGCTCCAATATCCGTAAACTCGACCGCGACATCAACCAAGTCAGGCAAGTCGAGGCCAAGACGAAGAACCTCATCCTCCAAGCCGATAAGCGAGCCCAACGAGACCCGACGAGACAGAAACAAGCACAGAAGGAGGCGCGCGACTTTGCGCGGGAACTCATCCGCGCGCGAAAGACGAGCAATCGCCTAGTCACCTCCAAGGCGCAACTCAACAGCGTGCAGATGCAGGTCAATGAGGCGTTTGCAGTGAGGAAGATCGAGGGCAGCATCCGCGCGAGCGTCGGTGTGATGAAGGACGTCAACCGTCTGATTCGGCTGCCTGAACTGGCCGGCACGATGCAGGAACTCAGCGCGGAGCTCATGAAGGCCGGCATCATCGAAGAGATGGTCGGCGAGAGTCTGCCCGAGGACATGGACGAGTTCGAAGAGGAGGAGGCCGAAGGCGAGGTCGACAAGGTTCTCGGTGAAATTCTCAAGGACCGTATGTCCAAGGAGAAGCTTCCCGCTGCGCCGGTCACGCAAGAACCCAAGCCGGTCGAGGTCGAGGAGGAGGAAGAGGATGCCGAGGCTATGATGAACCAGATGCGCAACAGACTGGAGGCCTTGCGGAGCTAAGGGCTTGCATATCGATAAAGACGGCGTACGGCGTTTTGTTTCGCGGGCCAATTCTGTCAGCTCAGCTTTTTTGAAGGCAACATTTCACACAAGGGTCTGGATACAGCGACGGAGACACGTCCAGGTCTGTCAGAGCCTCCACAGGCGATCTGTCGGGAGTGTTCATAAGTCGACAGTTTCTGTGGCTCTCATTGTGCTCCCGGGTCATCTTCATGTTTCGTCTGGCGTTTGGAGTAGCCATCATTCAGAAGTAAACATTGTCTTCACGTGTTGAAAGGTCAGACTGGTGGCTCTAGGCCAAAGGACACTGCGCGATTCCTCTCGCTTGACTATTTATATGAGTTCAAAGACTTCAGAAGAAAGTCCTGAAATGAGAAAATGTCTTCCGACTTTGTCCAGCCCGTTGTTTTGACGTGGGGGATCAATTAGGCCATACTTGATCTTTCCATTATAAACCAAAAGAGACCATTTCCCTTGTTTGTGAAGCCAAATTTTCCATTGATCCTTTCAGATATCCCTGGTCGTGATTTCAAGGTCTGAGATCTCAACTCGGCAGCGCCCGCCATGTCTCACAGCGGAGAATGCCGTCTTATCCTGTCTAAGCAAGGTGTTCATCACGTTTCGGTGGGCATTGTCTGTGAAAGTCTTCAGAAAAACACTTGGTTATGGTGAGATCCCTCGCTGCCAGTTTGTCCGTCTTCCCATTGTTTTCTTTCACTAAGGCTACATGTGCCTCTCGAATGGCCGGTTGGGCGATTTGCGGTCATTCTTCCATGGATGATGGTACTGATGTCGGATTTTACTTAATTGGTGTATTGAAATGAATTAAAATTAAGTCAAGATCAACTACTAAAGCTATATACAACATCGACTTCGGCAAATTGAGAGTGATTTCGACAATTTGACATCGTGGCTTCCATCGGAGCAGCTTTTGCCAAAGGATCATGTGCGAGTTACCAAAGGCTGAGGAACGAAATGGCATTCTCTCTTGGACATATACAGAACCTCATAATCTGATCCAGTAAGTGATCGTATGTGAAAATCGGTTAGATACTGATTTACGACTTTTGCCTTGTCAGAATACTATGTTGATGTTAGATCAGTATAGTGTTTTAGTCTTCGGCCCTGAGGCCCTCTAACAAGCATGCGAGATAGAATTCTACTTGGGTTGGTTGTCTCCTTGTCTCGAGGCCATCGGACCTTTGGACCACTTTGACTAAGTTCGCAGGGAGCGACGACAACATCGTAAAGCATATTTAAGATTGGAAGACAAACAGCAACAAATAAGGGAAAAGTAGGGAGTGGTGAGAGATCACAAGAGAGGAGGGAGATGGCATCAGAAATGAGACAGGCCCGGACGGAGAGAGAAACAGCATCGGCAACACAGGAGGCTAATTATGCCACTACTTTGCCGTGATACTATCGTGCCCTACCGCTACTGAGAGAACATCAGGTAGAATAGAAAACTGTTCAATCTGTTGTCTTCTCTCTAAGCTCAACAACCTCTGGTTTAACGGCGAACCGAAGTAGAAAACACCACCAACTACTTTCAGACTATGGAAAACTTCATCTTCCAATCCCTACATACCGCCGTCAACTCGTAGAAACATCAAATCTGCATCACCTTAGAATACAACCTCTTCATACAACACCTCTCCATGAACCAATCCCCATCAACCCTTCTCCACGTCTCATGATAATGCCCGGCACCAGTAGAATGCAACCCCGACTCCGACCCCCTCGTCCCAGCATGATAGATAACCCCAAACACAGCCTTCACCTCGTCCTCGGAAACCTGCTCCAGGTCCCCCGCGTCCGTCAGGTGCATCGTCTGCATGACTTTAAAGGCCTCGCTAAAGTGCGCGACCCACGCCTCGCGCGAGGTCCAGCGGTACGGAACGCCGTTGAGTGTCAGGATGCTGCCGTCTAGGTCGAAGGCTTCAAAGGTGAGGGTGGGGAGCATGATTGTGTCGAAGCGGTCCCAGTCGCATGTGTCTGCGAAGCGGCAGTATTGGGCCTTCTTGCGGCGGATGGTTTCTGCTACTTCGGGGGAGATTGTCATATTTTGTTTGGTATTTTGGTTTCTCGAGGGTCCAAGATGCGAGGGAAGACAGTAGGTATGAGCTAATCGCAATAACGATGGTAAATGAGTGAAGGACATAATCACGTCCTCCGTCTATTGTATTCTGACATATCTCAACGCTATATACCAGTCTATGTCACATCATCAAACAACAAGCAGAAGAGGGGGTTTTGCGGGGACGCTATCGATCATCACACTTTATGCCAAGAAAGGAGTTGATATCACATACTTCCCACGCTCGAATTACCTCATGAAGAATTATGGTAGCATCGAGACCGTTGAAGACATGGGGGTTTCCTGCAGCTTTGGCAGCTTTACAGCATTCGACCCATCAACTTACTAGGATGGTTGGAGGGGCGTAAGCACTTGTCCACAGCATGCCAAGCAGGAATTTCACTGGTTCATTGAGCATTGTATGATAGTGATGATTTACCTATTCATGTGGTCTTGGTGAGAACCTCACTGTCCCGCGTCTGATCTGAGCTGGTGATAGGAAGTGCAAATTTTCCCCTTCTTAGCACTCAAGCATTGTTTGAGGCAAATCTTTAGGTAAAACTAGCAAGTGACTTGTACATTTCAGTTGGTAGACCTCGACGCACATATCGTCATTGGATATACATCCATCTCGCCTCTTGCTTCCCATAAACATCGAGGCCAAGGTACAGTCAAAATCGTGTTGTCAGAATAGAAGTTCCTCGAGTGGTATTACCACCTCTAGAACGAAGCTCTCACAGGCCTTTGGCGGCTGGTCTCCTATCAGTGATGCCCAGACGGGCTGGTGATGGAGCGTCAAGACTGTCTTGCACCATCGATCGTGATATCGTGAGATTAGCAGGTTCGATCTATCAGTTTCCTATCGCAGTCAAAGCCTTGCAACATGTTTGCCGCAAACTCGAAAACTTGAGTCTCAACCAATCGAGATATCGCAAGTAAGATATGTTTGGCTTGTCCGCATCTGATTTCTCATCTCTTGCCTGAGCATGTCCCCTCGAACGTACCGCATCCGGTTCAAAACCCTCAACCACAACCACAATCAACAAATCTCAACTCAGACATCTCCCTCAACACCACGATACCTCTCAGAGACTCGCCGTCTTCGAAAATAACTTTCGCAACCTCATCTCAGCAAGCAAACCACTCCCCCTCCCCATCCTCATCGTCCACCCTCCAAGTCTCAAGATAATGCCCACCGCCAGTCAAATGAACCCCCTTCTCAGATCCGACATCACCAACATGATACACAAGCCCAGAGACGGCCTTGGCCTCATTCTTACTCCTGCTCCTACTCCCACTCCGGTCCCCGCCCCGATCCCGATCCCGAGTTCCATCCCCCGTCTCCGGCCCCATTCCCCTCAAAATTCCCCGGCTTAATAACATGCAAAGTTTGCATCCATTTAAACGCCTTTTCCACGATACGCGACGAACGCGGCTAAGGCAGTTCCACTCCTGCTTCACCCCGTTTTCGTCGACGTACATCCGGCCCGAGGCGTCGAGGAAACTCGATCTCGGCGTTGGATAGGATCAAACTGGAGAGGAGAGACTATTGCTTGGTGTAGATGTAGCGGCAGTAGCGCGTCTTTCTACGGCGAACAGATTCTGCTGTTTCGATGGAGATGGGCACGATCGATCGTTGGGAGGGTTAGTTGGTTTGGGTGAGAGGTTTGGTCTAAGTGTAAACTCGATGTGACTATTCATGCACGGTTCCGGATGAATCTCAATGAGTCTCACGAGTTGACTTTGTTCCCACGAAGCAGGTCAGTGGACTTTTTTCAACCAGACTGTCTATCTAGAGATCTAGAAACCTCATTCTTTGCGATGTGTGACCCAACATTCTCACACAAGAAAGGAGATCTTCTGCAGCAGGCCGCTTAACCACGCAAAGTCTCGCGAAGCCTCGCTTTTGTTTGATGTCAAGTCACACAGCATAGCAATAGGCATACAAACACTGTTATCTGTCCCAATGTTCAATTTCACCGCAGCTCGAAGGCCAACAACACTGATACGTTACTTCTCCCCTCGCCGCAAAGCCGCATCTTACAGTAGCTCAACGGCCCGAAGCCAGAAGCAGTTGACCCAGCATGCCATCTGTAAGCAGCTCTCATAAGCGGCTCTGCTCCCAGTCAGACCGTTCAGCCTATCACTGATCAGTCAGGAGCTCACCCCGACGATCCCCCACGATCTGACAATCCGTACGACGAGACCGGTGAACCTCCCCAGGCCCGGCCCCCAAAGCAGACTGCGTAAGAATGGCTGATGTAAGACCACCAAAATTCCAACGCACGCGACGAACAAGAGATGAACAACGCTCTTGTCAGCTGGAACACTCCCCAATCTCTCGGCCGGCGGTTGCGGCATCTCCATCTTCATCTCCACGAGATGGAACCGCAATAAGGCTCAACGGCTCTGGAACGCCGAACGCAGATCCCATCTTGACAACCTTCCCCGATCGATGGGGATATCTTTCAGTGGTGTACCTATGGCCTCGGGGCGAGCAGTCCCACAATCCCAAAACGGTCTGACCGTTTCGCAGCCACCGTTTCCGGTAGCATAAACTCAGGGGGAGGGAAGAAGGGAGAGTTATGCATTCCACACACTGCATAACCATTTCCGTCGTCCTCCCTCCGTCCACCCGGTAGACTAATCCGGCAGCAACCGAGCAAGAGCCGGAAAGTCCCAGGGCAATAACTGCAAACCGCAAATCGCAAATACCCAAACGCTCAAAGCAGCAGCACGTCAGGGAGAAGAGCGCGCAATCACCCGCTAGACCGGAACAGGACCCCCTGCCGCAACTGCACCCACACACCCACGCAAACCACGCTTTCTGCTCTTCTCTTCTACGGGTCCCACAACCCGCAGCCGGTCCAATTTCGGGGGACGGGGGGGATGAACCGGGATAAGGAACACCCAAACATCCACACCCCCTTCCGCGGTCGCAGGGGGAGGAAGAAGAAGGAGGCTAAGAAGGGAAAAAACCGTCTAGCGGCTTTCTAGAAGGTCGTCCAGGGCGGACAATCTCAATTCCTGGTCCTCTGGTGTCTGTAACCCGGTCCCCCCTAGCCCCGCGGGCATCCTTCCGGTCGCTCGGTGCGCGTTTGGTCCAGGGGGTGAACGCTACCACCATGAATCGCGACACCCGCCCGATAGATAGATACCTAGCTAAAGGGTTTTCATTTGGCGTTGGCGTCGTGTCGTCGCGCGGTCGGGCGTTGCGGTTTTGGGTAGGTCGACGATGCCGCGGTGGCTGTTCCGGTGCGTGGTTGTGCTCGGTGCACTTGTTGCAAATAGATGCAACGCCGGGCCTCGC